ATGATTTGTGTTAAAAATCTCCAGATACGAGTATAAAATTCATCACAGGTGTATATTTGGAATGAAATTAAATACTTTTTTTCAAGGTTTTATGCTTGTCACTACATTGAACAAGTCACTTGGCAAAGAAAATGATATGATTTTTAAATGTTTTTTATTATTGTAAATGTACTGAAGAAAACAGATACTGCTGAATAATTCAAATGAGTAGGAAAACCACAATGATTCTAGGAAAACCTCCATCACTGTACAATGGTTCAACCTTGTCAGGCCAGAATTCTTTTTATGTTATCAGGGTTTTTTACCACCAAATTCAGGTCAGTACGTCGAAAAAATAAAAACATAAACAAAAATGTGGCCTTTTTGAGGACAGTAGAGTACCCAGAGTCATAGTCAAGATTAACAAGTTCCCGAATTAACAAATCATTGGTACGGAGATGGGATGTCCACCTAGAACAAGGTCCAGGCAAACAAGGTGCCACTCTGTACAATGTATGGGTTTGTAACAAATGTGAGTCTCCTGTCAAATTTCACAGAATGATTGTATCCAAGTGTTGAGACAATGCAAGCTAAAACCTTAAAATCCAGGCCACATGGCAAATGAAATAAGTTATATACAGATAATACATGACTAGTGTGGAACCACAGAGTATATACATGTATGTGGAATGAAAACTGTCATGGCTATACAGCTGGTGGAGCCCTGATGGTGATCTTAGCATAGGATGTACCGATACACTTTGTACCTTGGTACACAGCTGCCGTTAGAAGATACACTGCTTTACAAGGGCTGTATCTTGATTCACACCATACTTAATTTAAAACAGAATTGAGTTTAGAGAATGAAAATGTTTAAATCTTATTAGCAATTACTCTGCTTTTTACAGCAAGCTTTTATGGAAACTGGGCAAATACGGAAACAGATGATACCGCATACTACATGTGTATTAATACAATTATTTTCCTGCATTTAATCTTGTTTGCATTCGTTGTACATAAATACATCTGAAAAAGATTGTAAGGGCTTTGGTCTGAGCATTACAGCTTGAAAGTGCTAATTTACAATAATGGTAGCACAACAATATCTTGTGAATGGCAACCCTGTATTATTTACACTCCGAGAGAGAATCAGAACACAGAATTAAATTTAGGTCATTAATTCCCCAAGCCTGAGGTCAACCACTGTGGTTCAAACAGCAGTTATTTTTTTATATCACATGGATCGGTTGAGTCCCTTTCCACAAAGCAAGCTAACACAGCTAAGTGATAAAACTGTCAAAGGTCAAAGAGAGGGAATCAACATCAAGCAATACCTAAAGGCTGGGGTGAGTGAAGTGAAGTGAAGTGGGGTTTAACGTCAAGATTATTGCACTTATATAGCTACATGTGTGGCTGTGGGTGGCTGTGTGTGACTGCTTGCACTAGTCCGGACTGATGCCAATTTATAGTGCTAGCACACTCAGATGCCATGCCGCAGTTTAACATGACTACCCTGATCAGACACCGTACAATGTATATGACACCGAGTCGACCAGTCCTTCAGAGCTTCAGATAAGCAGCATATTTGCTTAAAATACCCTCGCCCCCCCCACCAAATTTTTTTGGAAAACCAATTACTTTCAATTTACATGTGTACAGAAACGCATGCATTATGACAAACACAAATGTTTAAAAAACGCACGATAAACACCCAATGAAGCTTTTTCAGCATGCGTACAAAGGAGCTAATTTCCGAAACACAGTTATGAGCTAATTTACTTTCCGAGTCAAGCCTACATTTAGAACAGTTACATACATTTAAAACACTATTTCCTTTATTTTTTAATCTTAAACTGATCACTTATTTTTGGAAAACCCAATAGAGTGATGAATAGGTGAGTGACAAAATATTGGTTACCCAATGAAAAATGTAATAACCCAATTAAAATAGAAACCCTCAAGTAAAAACTCAATTGCCTTGGTCTGGTCCTTGTTTTAGCCCCTTGATGCTGAGCGCCAGGCAGGGTAGCAAAAAGTACCATCTTTTACTGTCTGTTGGTATGAAGAAGCTGGGGATCAAACCCCGGACCTTCCGCTCTTGGGATGGACGCTCTGCTACTACACCACGGAGGTGGTCTCCTAAAGGCTGGAGCGATGGAAGATGGTGGTGAAGTTGATGAGGAGAACAAACACTAGTCCCACCCAAAGGCAACTTATATCCCTGATCTGCATCAAATCCATATTTTCATTTTAGTCAGGTCATAAATTTTTGTTATCCTACCTGGGTCACCCATACTTCAATAGCTTGGTGGTAAGGGATCAAGTTCATGCAACACAGACAGGTATTAGGATAAACGTCAGTAAGATTATAATTCTGCGTAAATACAACACCAACATATGTCAATCAGAGCTCACTGGCTGATCCAGAGAGGGTGGGGTGAGGTGGGGGTGCAGACCCCCTTTTTCCCCCTGAGTCATGTCACTTTGTCATTTGGGCATATACCGTTTTCAACGTAATAAGTGCCCAGGGTGCTCTCAAAATTAGGAACAGGGGGCTCTTATTAGAATAATATTTGGGTGAAAAGAAAATAGAGTTGAAAGATAAATTTCGGGGTTTATGCTGACAGCCTAAAATGTTTATGTACGACAGATATATTTTTCCAGAATTTAACTGCCCATAATTAAGGGTACATATAACACCTGAGTGCGTATTATATGCGAACAAATAAGTCTTGTGTACAATGATCAATCGGAAGGGTGCCAATTTGGATTGTTCACAAGCCAATATATTGGCAAATATCGCTGTGGGCGCTTATTAGAGCGGGGCGCTTATTATGTCGAATACGGTACATGTGCAAGCCTGCTTTTTCAAAATTCCAGATCAGCCTCTGGAGCTAGGGATATTTGTGAGGTCTCGATGAACCCTTGAGAACAAGAAGGTTTATGGCACTGACACAGTATGGAAGCACAGTTGGAGAGGATGAAACAAGGTCCATAGACAATGTCACATGGTAGTTCATAATCAATAATCAAAGGCAGAGGGATTGACCTGGGTCTATTTTGGGGTCTAAGGGACAAAAGGGGGTCAAGGAATCATGAGGGCCACAGCTGGTAGCATGGGGCATGCTCACTTGGTTGTCAAATCTCTTACTGATGTCATATTATATATGCTCAGAAGTCTTAAGCCTATTTTCGATGTGGATTTCAATGTTAGATTTAAGAAAATCAACCACTGACAGCATGAATTGAGCTCCTAAACATTTAGAAAATCATTTGCTGATGAAACCAAATACCTGGCCCCCTTGAAAATCAAGTGGGGGTTGCTACCGTAAGAGATTTAGATTTTAAAGTTTTAAAGGTGAGGAAAATGTGACGAGTGCCTTGTTGTGTACAGTTAGACGACTGCACCTCTGTAAAGTAATACCGTATTCGACGTAATAAGCGCCCAGGGCGCTCTCAAAATTATAAATAGGGGGCTCTTATTAGAATATTACTTTGGTGGAAAAAACAGAGTTGAAAGATAAATTTCGTGGTTTATGCTGACAGTCTGAACTGTTTATATACGACAGATACATTTTTCCAGAATTTAATTGCCCATAATTAAGGGTGCATATAACACACGAGTGCGTATTATACACGAATAAATAAGTCTTGTGTACATTGATAAATCGGAAGGGGTGCTAATTGGGATTGTTCACTTGCCAATATATTAACAAATATTGACGTGGGCGCTTATTAGAGCGGGGCGCTCATTACGTCTAATACGGTATGTCCTTATTAATACCAATTTTCAGTTATAGATAAATTAATACTAACACAACTATATTTGTTTTTGAGATGCATGTATCCTATAGGTTATCCACTCTTGTTTTAGAAAATACATGTATTGTAAGATAGGTGATATGTCATATACTCTGTATGTTCCGTCATACAAGCACTTGTGGAATGGTTGAATACTTCTGTTTAACTGCCCCGACTCGGGCATAAATGCATAGCTGTGTGTATACATATGGTCATGAGCTTCTTCATAAAGGAAGGAATTGTTCTTCCACCGATTATGTACAGACTCCTATCCCTCTTCATTAGTTTCACTGAAACACTGGTAACCATGGTAACTATTGTCTGTTATAACCAACATGGGAGTGTAGAACAATGGTAGTTCTTGATCTGTACATGGTTGGAGGGTATTACCACTTTGCTTGCATCTGATTGGCTTTTGTAGGAGCAGCAGCTTTTGATTGGCTGGATGGCTTTTTCAAACAGCTCTATAGTGGGAATTACAGGCCGTCTCGATCTCCCTTGGGAGCTAATGTGACAATTCAGCTGGTAGAGGCAAGTCATAATTCCCTGCACCATGTTGATTATACAGTGTTACACAGTACCATGCCACAGTGTGTTCAAGATTACAAATATATTCATGAATACAACTTCTGATCAAATATGAATAAATATTAACTGGTCCACAGAAACTTAGGGTTTCATTCCCATGTATATTGATTTTCACAACTTCTGAATAAATACCAATTAATATTATTTAACATGTTTAATCCACTTTTTCTCAAGGTTTCATAAATTAATTTTTGCAATGTCTCTCTAGTGAGTTAAAATTATTGTCAGAATAACAATGTTTAAGTCAAACAGCTTCTGATTAAATAATCAGGCAAGAATCTATCCATTGATTCAAAAACTGAATGTTGTTTCAGCACAACTGCTAATATGGAAAAAGTGTTTTTTAATGCAATCATTTAAGCCAAGATTTGTACTGTACATTGACGAAAAACCACCTGAAGCTAATGACGAGACCAACATGGTAAATGCATGTCTTCAAGGTAATTGCTGCAATCATCGGTGGTAACATGTCTGACTAGACTCTATAAATAATGATGAACTTGATGACCATGGTTACAAGGTCACAAACGAACACCAAAACACGAAATAATAATATCAACATGTAGAACATAAAATCAAATATTGAATATCAAAAAAGGAAAAATAAACATCAATCAAATCTTAAGAATATTAAAGGCTGAAATTGATTTATTAAGAATCGACTTCACTCTTTTTTTGGTGTGTTTATGGACGTATAAATGTCAAAAACTGTGCATACTTCAGTTTATCATTGTTTTTTTTACATTTATACATCCAAAAAGAGTGAATAAATAAATACATCAATAATAATAACTTCACAGACTGCTTATTTAATCATAACCTCTAACACTAAAATAAACAAGCCATGTCCATTCTGTTATCAGCCAATCAGGCAACAGTAGCCTGTTAGTGGGAAAGACCTGTTTTGTTTATCATGTTTATGGTCAACGTGAGTCACATAAATTCTTAAAATCTTCAAGAAAATAGATTTCTCTTGTGGCCCAATGTTGCTGGGTTTGTTCATCTGAATTCAAAGCATCTGACTATGAAATCCTTATTCATAATCCGACATGACAAGATAAATATCTGAACAATTCAACAGATAATTAATACTTAATCACATTGACTAAGAAACTCCTTCCTTTCAAACACTGAAACCTTTCATAACAAATAGAAAATCAATATATCTACACCAGTCTCGATGTACCAAAGCTCTTACCCTACTAGCAGGACTAGTAAATAAGATGAAGATCTCTTGTTCATTAATGCTCAATAATGTACACCGTAAACACAGGTTGATGAAATCGTAATCATCCCTTTTTTCTGCTACGTATCTGAATATCAACTTGATGACGGTGTCGATTCGAAGCTGTCCTTGTTATTGTTGGTTGCAAAGTTGCCACTGACGTTCCGAAGCACGGAGTCCTCCCCCAGTATGGAGCAGAGCTCTGTGAGTCGAGACTGCATCTCGGGGATGCCGGCCAGCTGGGCCTCCAGTCTCTGCTTCTCCTCGTTGAGGGTGAGCCGAGTGTTTGTGTCCAGCTGCTCCACACGCCAGCCTCCCTCCCCGTCAAACTGCAGCAGGTGGGTGTGGAACTTCCTGCAGTGGCCAAAGCATGGAATCAGAAACATCCCACAAAACATATTATTATGTATTCCAATTACTCATAAAGGCACCTTAAGTCCTTACATAGAAATGAATACTTGGGATGTCACCTATTGTCCATCTTAACCATGGTAATCTTAACATATCTAAAAGTTCTGTGGTAGAAAATGATTACTTTTGTATCGAAATTCATAAGTGAGTGAGTGAGTGAGTTTGGTTTTACGCCGCTTTTAGCAATATTCCAGCAATATCACGGCGGGGGACACCAGAAATGGGCTTCACACATTGTGCCCATGTCGTGATTCGAACCCGGGTCTTCGGCGTGACGAGCGAACGCTTTAACCACTAGGCTACCCGACCGCCCCTCGATATTCATAAATATGCATTGATATAGTAACAACATAAAAAACAAGGGCAAAAGTGAGCGTGGCTCACTAATACCCCCGACCCGCCTAGTGTGTCAGTAGTTTCAAATTAAATAAAGGACAGGGTTAGGGTTTGAAAAATTCATAAAAAATGGAAAAATAATAAAACCATTAAAAAATAAAAAAAATAATTTTCTTTTGACTGCACCCCTCCATATGACACAGATTATATGTACTAAGTTTGAGATGAATCCACTGAATAGTTTAAGAGAAATTGCGCGGACAAAGTTTTCGGACAGACGGATGGACGGAACTTTGGTATAACTACTGGGGTATAATTATTGATACATTGATATCGCATTATACGATGACATCCCTATTAATGATCACATTTTGCAATACTAAACATAAGCCCCAAGGGTGCTTTCACAAGGACTAATTAGGACATGCTTGGTTTATTGTTAGAATGGCTTTATTTGGGCATTCACACACTACTAAATACTACAATACCATTTATTGCCAGAGTTACAGACTAATCCTTTGGTATTTGATCTCATTACACATCATCATAAGAGAGAACAACAATTGTTATTTATTTATTTAATTAACAGTTGAGTTAACCATGGTTGCCCGATTCAAGGTCTTTTGTTGTTTGTGGTTTAATGCAGCACTCAGCAATATTGCAGCTGGCAGCCTATAAATAATCAAGTCTAGACCAGACAATCCAGTCATTTACCACAGCAGGATTAATCCATGCAGTTGGGATACAATAACATGCAATCAACCATGTCACCGAGCCTGCCCAACAGAAAGATTCAACATTAAGGCCCTTCAAGGCTTGACTGTCCAATTCAAGGCTTTTTCAAGCCTGTGAGGAACTTGAACTTGACAATGAGACTCCGCAACCCTGTGTATTATTATGAGTAAACACCTTTTCATTCTTTCTTCATGTCATAACAATATGTTCATGACAAATTTTCAAGTGAGATCCCTTTTGTGCAAATCAAATGATTTAAGAAGATATCTATACAATGGCTGCCATTGTGGCCATTTTGAAAATTCAAATACAAACTTGAGAAACATCATGGGTGGGCGGGTGCACGGGTAAAGAGCTTAAGGAGAGCAAGGCATGTTGGTTGGTTGGTTTGTTGTTTAACGCCGCACTCAGCAATATTCCAGCTATATGACGGCGGTCTGTAAATAATCGAGTCTGGACCAGACAATCCAGTGATTAATATCATGAGCATCGATCCACGCAATTGGGATCGATGACATGTATCAACTAAGTCAGCGAGCCTGACCACCCGATCCTGTTAGTCGCCTTTTACGACAAGCATGGGTTGCTGATGACCTCTTCTACCTCGGAATCTTCACGGGTCGCAAGGCATGTAATTGGCATGGAGCCATTATAACAGTTCACATAGTTCCTGAGAAGTTGTAATTAAACAGAATTAAATGTCTGGTGGAAAATCTTACCATAAGGACGGTCGGTGAGTGATGGTGAGCAGGGTCGTACCACCATCCTTAACAGCCTGGTACATCTTGCTCTCAACATCAATAGACACAGCGCTGGTACACTCGTCCAGCAGAGCAAACTGAGGTCTACAATATAGACAACATACAGTTAATAGAAGCAATAGACACAGCGCTGGTACACTCGTCCAGCAGAGCAAACTGAGGTCTACAATATAGACAACATACAGTTAATAGAAGCAATATCCACAATAAACACAGCATACCGAGTTTAAAGAAAGAAAAAAATGCTCACTGAAGAAGCATCCTTCTCTTTAAGGCCTACAAGAACAGGTATATTACTGACAATCCCAAGACTGTATTCCACCAAGCCTGGGATTCCACCACACAACCAGTGGATCCTAGCACGGGTAAGGAATACAATTTGCACAGCCTTTCGATCACAGGGACACCTGTGTCCTCTCAAAGAATGATGTTTTTGAGTATATCATGCTGAGGGACACCAGAAATATTCCAGCAACATCATGGCAAGGGACACAGGAAGTGGCCTTTGCAAATTGCGTGGGGAATGGCCCCAAGGCCATGTCAGTTTACGGAATGTCAGTTTAATGTGGGAGGAAACACGTGCCTTCTGCGTGACAAGCCAACGCTTTAACTACTTGGCTCCCCCAACACCCCCAGTTGTTGGTGCTACATACCTGTGGTAGAAGATCCTGGCCATGCCCATCCTCTGCTTCTCACCGCCAGACAACACGTCTTTCCAATCACTCTCCACGTCCCAGCCTAACACAGAATAAATTCATATTGTTTTGTTTGTTTGTTGTACAAGGCAGAAGCATGAGTATCACGGTATGGCGCCACACAAGCAAGATTATGATCAGGGATTTGACAACATCCTGGCACTGCTAAGAAACACAACCCTGCACAACAAGTTAAGTCAACTTGGTAATATACAAAACATCTTTTGGTAGTTTTGCTGTTTACCACTGCACTCAGCAATGTTCCAGCTGAATGATTGCAGTCTGTAAATTATCAAATATGAACCAGACAATCCAGTGAAAAGCATCACCCCATGCATTTGGGATACAATGACACACAGCCTGACCACCCAGTCCATTTAGGTGCCTCTTACAACAAGCATGGGCTGCTGTGGATCCACATGCAAACCCAGAATCACCAGCAATTATTTCAAATTGCTTTGGGTGACTTTTCAAATATATAAAACAGAATGAGTAGGACCATGGAAGTATCTTATTGTCTTCCTACATTTGTTACAAAATATGTGACTACATGTACCAGTAACCATGGCAAACAACGTAAATCTGATATCAGAGCTCCAGATAACTTTTTGAGCAATTTCAATTTCAAGGGTTTCTATATTAATTGAGTTACATTTTTCATTGGGTAACTAATATTTTTTCACTCATCTATTTATCACTCTATTGGGTTTTTCATTTTCAGATTTAAAAAAAATATTCAATATTGTTTTAGTTGTATATAACTGTTCTAAATATATAGGCTTGACTCGGAAAGTAAATTAGCTCATAATTGTGTTTCGGAAAATTAGCTACTTTGTATGCATGCAGAAAAAGCTTCATTGGGTATTTACTTGAGCTGTTTTTATATATTCGAGTTTTTCATTTAATGCATGCGTTTCTGTATGCAAGTTAATTGAAAGTAATTGGGTTTTGAATATTTTGGTTGTTTTTTTACGCAAATATGCTGCTTATCTGTAGCTCTGTGATATTGAATTAATTTCCATTATTATCAATTACTGACTAAGCATGCTGAATGTTATTTGAATATTAAACTGAATCCGAAATATAAACAACTATTTAATGGTCTTTGTTCGGCACATGAGTTCATTTTCCCCCAAATTCAAATTATGTGCATGAATTGGAAATGAGAAAATACCTTACTTGCACTTTTGTAAACAACAAAAATATGATGTATATAACTTAACATAATTACAGCTGACCAGCGAGTACATAGACAATAAACCATTTGGTTTGATGATTAATATTCCACAAAATGCCACCATTTTGACACATTATGAAGTTCACATTGAATTACTAAGTAAAATTAAAAGGCACATCATCTACAGCCAACAATGCACTGACCTCCCTCCCTCTGTACAATATGTGCCAGATGCACAATGTCGAGGATGCCATCGAGATGAGTATCAGTGAAGCCTTTCTTCATCATGTCCTCCTTGCAGTCGGGGTAGATCACCTGGTCCCTCAGTGTCCCGATGGACATGTATGGTCTGTAATGAGTGAGTGAGTGAGTGAGTGAGTGAGTGAGTGAGTGAGTGAGTGAGTGAGTGAGTGAGTGAGTGAGTGAGTGAGTGAGTGAGTGAGTGAGTGAGTGAGTGAGTGAGTGAGAGTAGTTCTGATAAATACAGCAGCTGTATGCAATACATCATATTGGCCTAACAAACCAACAACATCAATATGATCAGCAAATGCTTAACAATGTTAACAAACGGCTGCCAAACAAACTTTTTTCTACTATATGCACTAACCTCTGTGGAATGTAGAACATGGCCGACGGTGGGGGTTTGTGTAGCTTGCCACTGTACACCGGCCACAGGCCACTCAAGATACGGAACAGGGACGACTTGCCGCAGCCATTTGGGCCAGTGATCAACATGTGCATGCCAGGATTCATCTGAAGGAATCAGTGTGTGAGTGAGTGAGTGAGTGAACGTTGTTCGATGCCACAGTCAGCAATTTTCCATCTCACAATGGCCTGCTATCAATCAAATCTGTCCAGCCACACCAGGACTAATAACATTAGCTGATTAGTTTGTTTGTTGTTTAACGCTGCACTCAGCAATATTCAAGCTATCGGATGGTGGTTTGTAAATAATTGAGTCTGGACTAGACAGTCCAGTGATTGACACCATGAGCATCAATCTACGCAATTGGGATACCATGACATGCATCAACAAAGTCAGCGAGCCTTCCCACCCGACCATGTTAGTTGCCTCTACGTCAAACCCATTGTGACTATCCAATCTTCTTTATATAGAACACAATTATCTGCCCTGAGCCTATCATTGTATCATTCAAGTCATAGTTAGGGCTGTAATGATACACTTTGTCACAACAGATACATTCTTGATAGTAATGTTGTAATACAATAGATGATATCACACATAAAAACTTGATGCTAGGACACACTCCATCATCAAGGGGACAGATTGGATACCCACCAAATCATCATGATCATACCAAGTAGGTCTCAGTTACTTGGTCAAAATGTGGCATGAGACCTCTTGTAAATACTGGCAGAAAAACATCTTAATTTAATTTGTATATTATTTCGCGTCATCCATAATATGTACTTTTATAGTTTTGTATCAAGACATGATCTCACACTACGATACATGAAACATGAGAGACTACTGTGAAGCACGGAACATTCAGTGAATCCTTTCTACCCAAATCACAGTGACATTGCTACTTTAAGCTCTGAATATCAGCAAAATGGCCACTGTTGGTTATCTCATGGCCCTGTTTTAGACACGCTACCAGTAGCATGGTAATAATCATTCTGATCACGTTCCAGTTCATGTACAAACATTGTTCACTTCATCATTGATTGGCACGATTGTGATAATTAGAATTAATGTCAAGAGGTGTCGGCACAATCACCACTTGGTTGTTTGTAGTGAGAATCAATCAGTCAACTTGAGATCCAATCATCAAAAAAATACAACTGAATTTGTTCTGTCTACCTGGACATTCTGATATCTGAATTATATTAAACTGCTAAACATTATTATCAAATTGGATAATCATATAAGTACATCATTGGAATCTTAGAAGAAATCTGTCCTTGACAATAACACAGCAGTCCAGCCGTAGAAACTAACAGTTTTAGTCCACTAGTCCTTACTGATAACATGTAGCAAAACCCTTAAAAATGGAAAATTTCTACTAGTCCTTATGATACCTTAACTATTGGGCAGTTTGGAAAGGAGTATAGGACTCTTGCCAATTTCTAATGCTGAGCACACTTTAAAGAGCATTATAAAGTTTTTCTTCAAAACATGAAAAGACTTAGAAAATCTACAATGTTACTGCAAAACAGATTTCATGATTTCATTTTGTCTGGGACAACTGTAATTTGCCATAAAAATCGTGTTGTTTGTGACAAGGCTTGCTTACAGTGAGAGATAGGCTGGACACGATGACATCTCCGTTGGGTGTGACAATAGGCAGGTTTTCAATCTCAATGGTTGATTCTGTGTCCATGACATCCCCTACAAATTCAACAAACCTATATTTCAGTACACCCTAGCTGAATGAGGTTCAACCAGATTGTTATGCCATTTGTATATCTTTTAGGCCAGACTGATCATATTCTATTTTAACAGGTGCGCAGACCCTCCTACATCTGCATCTGATCATGCAAATAATAAAAAAGTAAATCTTAAGAGGTAAGCTGGAATGGGGTTTACAATCATTGTCAAGATTACTACACTTATATAACGATGTGGGTGGCCGGTTGTACTAGTCCAGACTAATGCTGGTTTTATACTGATAGCCCACAGGTTAACATGGATACCCGCAGTATACTGATTTCGAGCTGACCAACGCTTCTTGAAGCTGAGCAGCAGGCAGAGTGACAACAAGTACCATCTTTTTTTGGCTTTTGGTATGACACACATTGGGTCGAACCCCTGATCTTCTGCTCTCCCGTCAGACAATCTATTAACTAGACCATGGAGGTGTTCTTTTCTTTAAGAAAAAGTCAAATCTCGACACTTTTATTATCCTCCAGTCTCTTGCAATATTGCCCATGAAAATCAATAAAACGCTAAATAATAGAAGCCACGATACAATATCCATGCTCAGGGCAGGTTTAAAAAAAAGTGGCAGACCTGATCATGTATATATATTAGTTCAAATATTTCTCTGAAGGGATGAGCCAAACAATATCTTTTATTGGTCTGACAACACATGGTTGTTTCTGGAAAAAAGTGAGATGAATTACTCTTCCTCCAGTATTTTCTTGAACAAATCATATATCTAAAAGAAATTCTAGCTCCAGTGATAACATTTGAATAACCAGTCATCCCACCTCTGAGTTCCAAGGGTCCAGTGATTCGGTCATGTTTCTGTGACTTTGGTTTGGTGACCATCTTGCGTTCGTAGTGGCCACTGTTGACTTCCTCCATTACCTGGAACATCTCAGACACCCTGTCGGTGTAGCCGGCCAACTCGGTGATCTGTCCAACATAAATAGATACACAGTCTAACAGCAGCCTGTGCCAAAAACATTTGATCCTACTTGCCTGTTCTTGTCTATTAGCATCGTTTTCAGGTTGTTTGTTTGTTTTACGCCACACTCAGCAATATTCCAGCTATATGATGGCTGTCTGTAAATAATCAAGTCTGGACCAGACAATCCAGTGATTGACATCATGAGCATTGACATATGCCTCTTACGGCAAGCACGGATATTCACGAGTCTCCTTTTCAGTAAACTGAACATGTTTAAGAATAATAATATGGACTATTATTACAAATATCAAGTTCTGTTAAACCATCGTCCTGAAGGAAAACATATAAATACAAAACAATAGTTACAGTATCTATTGGTATGTTTCTTGTAATATGGCTGTACAAAGTTAATTTCAGTGAATTGCTGCTTTGCAATGGTATTTTCCCCAATGTCACAAAAAAACTATCAACATGCCATGTTGATAGCATTCTTTGGCTAATAACTTAGAGTTGGGTTACAGGTTCAAAAAGACTTAATAACAACAACTTAACATGCTTAAACCACATAATCCAAACTCATATAACATTAGCCTCAAATTTTCAAACCTGAACATGAAAAACCAAAGGTCAATAACACCAATGAATGCTAGTTATTTGCTACAGCGTTACCCAGTCATCAACTTGATCAAGTTCTTATCGGGAGAGCTATGCAACAAATACCTATACCTATACTATTATTATTGTCTTATTACACATTTAAATATCCCACTTATCAGATACTAGTAACTGCTCTAATGCAGTTTATTTGTACCCCCGACAAATGGATCCATATTTACTCAAGTTATCATTCTCAACTCCCTGGGGAGTATATTACCCATGCTGCAAACGGGCGCTAGATGGTTTCTGCATCCCCCTCACATATCGGGCACCCATTCCCTACTGGGTGAACAGAGGGACATTTGAACAAGTCACTTGCCCAGGGTGACACTATATGTTTTGACACATGTGTTTCGGGTGTTAGTATTCATGTTTACACCATCTGGTCATCTACCATTGGATGAGTGTGTTAGTTTGAGTGCCCAGGGTGACACTATATGTTTTGACACATGTGTTTCGGGTGTTAGTATTCATGTTTACACCATCTGGTCATCTACCATTGGATGAGTGTGTTAGTTTGAGTGCACAGGCTGAATGTACTGTACACTCCGAGGAGTGACAACACTGTAAAGACCTGTAAACATTGTTGGTCTACAGATTGAATATCAACCTGGTCACTAGTGGGATATGATCTCAGCACCTGGTGCTTGCTAGCATGGCACTTTGGACAGCTCGCCAACTACGCCCCATACATCATAACCAGCAGCCATTTTGAATACCCTATTCCTATAACAGTATTAAAGTCCTCTTCTAAATAATCATTGGGCAATGGGGCCTTGTCTGACCCTGAGCCATAACCAGCAGCCATTTTGAACACCCAATTCCTATAATAGTATTAAAGTCCTCTCCTAAACAATCATTGGGCAATGGGGCCTTGTCTGACCCTGAGCCATAACCAGCAGCCATTTTGAACACCCAATTCCTATAATAGTATTACAGTCCTCTCCTAAACAATCATTGGGCAATAGGGCCTTGTCTGACCCTGAGCCATAACCAGCAGCCATTTTGAGCACCCAATTCCTATAATAGTATTACAGACCTCTCCTAAACAATCATTGGGCAATGGGGCCTTGTCTGACCCTGAGCCATAACCAGCAGCCATTTTGAACACCCAATTCCTATAATAGTATTAATAGTATTAAAGTCCTCTCCTAAACAATCATTGGGCAATGTGGCCTTGCCTGACCCAGAGCCATAACCAGCAGCCATTTTGAACACCCAATTCCTATAATAGTATTACAGTCCTCTCCTAAACAATCATTGGGCAATAGGGCCTTGTCTGACCCTGAGCCAAAACCAGCAGCCATTTTGAACACCCAATTCCTATAACAGTATTACAGTCCTCTCCTTAACAATCATTGGGCAATGGGGCCTTGTCTGACCCTGAGCCATAACCAGCAGCCATTTTGAACACCCAATTCCTATAACAGTATTACAGTCCTCTCCTAAACAATCATTGGGCAATGGGGCCTTGTCTGACCCTGAGCCATAACCAGCAGTCATTTTGACCAAACTATGCTTATTTGACCTGCCTGAGGCCTGTTGAAGCAAGACTTTCATCTATGCCAGTCTCACTATAAATCACTGTCTCACATCACTTTATAATATTTCCCAACGTACCCACAGATGAAGAGCACTTATCATCCCAAACTGGCTTCCACAGGAGATATTGCTTGTGTGAGATCAAGCAATATCTCTGAGGAGTAAAACTACAATGAAACTGCATCACAATGCTTTGCAGACCATTGTGAAACTCAAATGACATCACAAACGTCTATGCCACTGAAGCTGGTTAAGGAACTGGGTATTTAAGAAATAAAGTTGAACAGCCACAAACATTCCTGGGGCACCAACACCTGGGCAACTTTAAGGTTGCTGTTGCATGGAAAACAGAGGTTTAAGACGGTTGACATTTTGAGATGGTTGACATTTGAGACGGTTGACATTATCTTGCCAAATTTCTTCCCAGGCAATTTATACTCAATTATTCAACAAGTTTAAAAGAAACTATTTCACTGATCAATAATGGTGTGGATGCACCATCTTGATAGACAGTAAAGACAGAACGATGTTACCAAGGATACGCTAGAGGATATTGCAACAGAGTCATAACATCAGCCCACTATGACAGAACTCTAAAGGTGTACTTTATCTGGATACAGCACCAGAGGTGACTTTGAACTGTTAGCGAGGCATCTTAGAATTCTGTATACATACAGTTTGTTTGTTTGTTGTTAATTCCGCACTCAGCAATATTCCAGCTATATAACGGCGGTCTGTAAATAATCCAGTAATTGACATCATGAGCATCGATCCTTGCAATTGGGATTGATGACAAGCATCAACCAAGTCTGCATGCCTGACCACCCTATCCCGTTAGTCGCCTCCTACGACAAGCATAGTTGCCTTTTAGGTCAAGCATGGGTTACTGAAGACCTTTTCTACCCCAGATCTCCAAGGGTGGTATACATACAGAAAAAGTTGGAAGAATGATTTTTGACGATAAATAAAATCTCACCCTTGTGTCTTGCGTCTCACCCTCACACGATAAAAGTTGAACAACATACATCCTACCAAACATCCATGATTGATGAGAATCCAATAAATCCATGTATGGTCATGATGAAGATGCAATAAATGAAATATGAAAAATAAGAACTTTTTTTCTTCTGAAAATGGATAAAAATCAAATAACTAATCATACTAATAAATCTCCTGCCATCCTACATGGGGTAATGATAGCTAATATATCCCTGAATAGGAGAACATTCTGACATACCTCTTTGTACGATGAAATCATTCTCTCCACGGCATCTGCAGTGTTGATGAGTAGATTGCGGGCGGTGGTGAAGGATCGTGTCCTCTCACTCACACCACCGTCTGGATCGTCATCTACCTGTGTACCTAACAACACCATGAACAGCATTACAATACTTTCACATACACCCTACTCTGCACGATCCAACAATAGAGACAAGGCACTGCAGCTCACCTGAATTATGAGTGAGTGAGTTGGGTTTAACGCTGCTTTGAACAGTATTCCAGTTATATATCAATGTATGTCAGCTTTATGTGGGAGGAAAGCCTGAAGTGATGCAGGTCTTAGATTTTTTCCACTTTGGTGAAACCCATGAGCACGGGTATGGTGCTGACAAACCTAGAAACATAATTGTGATAAACCAGGATTTGAACCCACAATCAAGGGACGTAACTGCACAGCTAACTGCGGCATCTTAGATGGCTAGGCCTTCTGGCTCCCCACTGAATTATGGAGACATAGGGGCAGCCTTGTTTCATGTTTTGTTTGTTTTTAGTTTCTAGCTGGATCATCCATATATTGTTTCAGATCAAGAGGCATTGCAGATTCAGTGATGTAAAAATGGAGGTACATGAACATGGTGAAGGTCAAAGGTTGTAGTTCCATCAAACCACAAAATATGCCAAAATGGTATTCTATCATATAAATGTTAACCCACAAACCACACTTGCTACATATGAACTCACATGATAATACATCCACAAATCGCTGAATAATTACCAAAAATAACATTTTTAAAATGGCCACCATGGACGTGACAGACAATGCATCAAGACATAACCTCACTTGATTTTCAGTTCATGATGTGGATTGTCTTGAAAATTATGTTTACAAATCGTTGTGATCAGCATAATAATCATGATCAATGACCATGATTAGGTCATCATCACAATAAGATTATTTAAAACTACAGTTTTATGTTCAAAACCATTTCCAGCTTACCATCAGCGCGAATCCCTGTTGCAGTGATGATGGGAACAGCTACCATGACGAGCCCACTGGCACTCCACACATACTTCATGAGGAACTGCTCCAACATGACATACCAAAGTCTCTTGTAGTAGATGGTGTCCATCTGGCCGGCCAGAGACATGTAACTCTTTTCCAAGTGTTTCTTTTCAATCTGTAACAGGAAAATAATAAAGAGTGAAAGGACCATGGCTAGGGCCAAAAACTATGATCACAATCCTGCAATGTTTCTGTTTCCAATACCTCCAGAAGTATTGGAGATGGTATCCAGGGTTTGAAATTCCTTGTATTTTAGTGCTGATGAAATGTTTAAAATATGTTTCTGGTGCCTGAAGGTACACATAGAAATGCTCACATTGACATAATATTTATCATATATGAAACCACAAAAAAAAGTGACTAACACATGGATAATGATCAACATGTGAACATGCATCCTGCACAGTATGATTCACAAAATATACACCTGATACACTGAAAGGCAAAAGAAACGTCACTTCTGAAAATACTGATAAAACTTAATAGACACTGACAGTTACATGTTCTGTGGTCAATAAACTCATTTATCGTTCTACTGCTTCTTTTTGTTGGCTAAAAGTCCATTTAACAACTGAGTTTAAAATGGAGTGCTTTGACCGACCGCGTAGAGGTCGTCCTAGAGTCACTACTCCCAGACAAGATTGGTTCATGATATGCCAACATCTGCAGAACTGATTCTGAATGGCCACTGAAACAGCTCGGCAAACCATTGGCAACCACCAGCATGCCATCAGTGATCGTACAGTCCGACGTCGCCTAACTGCCAACAACATCTCGTGCCACCGTCCTGCTCGTGTACCCATCATGAGAGACCGTCACCGACAGGCCCGACTGCAATGGGCCAGGCAGCATCAAAATTGGCGTCAACAGCAATGGAGAAGAATCATCTTCACTGATGAAAGTCACTACTGTGTTTCAACAGTGGATGGCAGAGTAAGGGTCTGGCGAAGGAGGGGCGAACGTTATGCTGATCATGCTGATGCTTGTGTTATGGAACAAGACCTGTGGGGCGGCCAAAGCATCATGGTTTTGGGTGGAATCGGACTGAACCAGAGAGTGGGACCTGTGGTCCAGGCAGGGGTAATGGCATAACCATGATAACAGCTCTCGGCTACATTGACCAAGTCCTCAGTTCCCATATAGTGCCATTTTTTGCCCATCATCAAAACCACACCTTTCAGCAAGATAACGCCCGTCCCCACTCTGTCAGAGTCACCAGGGACTTCCTCCAGCAGCACAACATCCAAATCATGCCTTGGCCTGCCCCCAGTCCGGATTTGAATCCCATTGAACACTTGTGGGATGAGATCCAACGCTGACTTAACGAAGGCCGACAACTGCAGCAGAACTGCGTGTAGCGTTCCTGAGGATATGGGCCCATATCCCAATGGCCTTCATCAACAGGCTGGTCCACTCCATGTACAGGAGATGTGTGGCTGTAGTCAACGCCCGTGGTGGCCACACCAGGTACAGATTTTGAACCCCCCAGCTGTGATGTCTTCTTGTGCCTCCCCAAATTCACAATTCGCAAAAACATTCCCCAGACTGTTAATTTCATGTGGGTCAAACACTGACTTTCTCCGATGTCTTTACTTACATATATAAGCATTTGAAAATAAAGATATTTATATGATACATCCACATGATGTTTCTTTTGCCTTTCAGCATGTTAAGTGTATTTGGGTATTCAGAAATGAAAATCAATATAACATAATTTATACAAATGGAAACAAAGGGAAATAAATTACAAGTGCTTATCATGCTTATTATCTACATTCACTGAGTTTTAACATGTTTAATGAGCAATAATTTTTTTTCCTAAAGTTAGCACACTTTAATCTGTTAATCATGTTAATTCCAACATGTTTCCACCACAGGGCATATAATCATGTTAATTCCAACATGTTTCCTCCACAGGGCATATAATCATGTTAATTCCAACATGTTTCCACCACAGGGCATATAATCATGTTAATTCCAACATGTTTCCACCACAGGGCATATAATCATGTTAATTCCAACATGTTTCCTCCACAGGGCAAATGTTTGAGTGTGTAATGGCACGCTTGAAAAAAATACATTCCTATCCTTGTAATCCATTAGTCTACAATGTTGTCTACATATTGCTGTACCATAGACTCATTGTTCTGCTTACAATGTATAGCCTGTACCTCACAATGAAAATGGTCTTGAACACTAATGAAACTCAGTGATGTAAATATGTCTAATATGGCTGCTGTGGCATTCCCTGGATTTTTGTTCAAGAAATCATTTGTACCAGAAAGAAATGAAACAAATACCTCACATTAGCATGGTTAGTCCAAGGTTTTACACACAAATAATAAAGTAGGACATCATGGAAATAAAAAGTTTTGTAACAAACACTAAAGAATTTGGCCCCTTTTAAAAATTAAAATATTATGTTTTGAACCAATGACTGAAAAAAATATCCTGTCTCTTACAAAAAAAACCCAGCATCTCATGTACATGTGATGTAATATTAAAGAGTTTGGTACCTTAGCATCTCTGCTAAGTTAACACTTCATACCTATATAACTTTTAGTATTTACTTAATCATGTTAATGGTTTATCTTATGAAATCCAGTAAATCTGCAGTTAATTTTTCTGTGAACAACTACACATTAGTAAGACAATATCACAATGATCACTGTTAAGTTTACACTTCTAAAATGCAGTTCTGACTGTAAAGAAGTCCTTTTGAAATCCAATATGGCTGCCACAGTGTCCATTTTAAAAGACTTATTGACAATAATTGCCACCAAACTCAGAATAGGACCGTTATCATTTCTTCAAACATTCGGTCACTACACACATGACAGAAAGACAGTGGAAAATGTGAAACGTTCACATCTTCACAAGTCTAACAAGTTGATTAACCGCAAATTATTATGACTCAAAAGTCACAAACTCATCAGATTAAGTTTTTTTATTTTGCAGCAAGCAACAAATACTGTTGACCATGTTGACATGGGGCAGTGAAAGATTCTCCCATCAGTAATACTGTCATCCCATCTCCCATCAGTTAATACAAAGAGATCACTAGCTACTCAGTGACTTGACTAGCTTTACCACGCTTGCAACATATTATTTTCGATTTTCAAATTCAATAAACATGAATAAAGGTATTGAATAGCTTTTGTTTAGCAGTGTTTAAAATTCACATAAATTAATCCAGCCAGAAAGATGGACTGGCAAGTTCAATACATTGCCAGTCCAGTTTTGGTCTTTTTAACACAAGGCAGAACAAACAAGACAAATATCTATAGATGAGAATAATTTATACTCATTTTAAAAATTTATATAATTTATTTGCTTAACTTAAAAAACAAAAACAACTCAGCTAGACCATCGGACAATAATGACATAAAAGTTTACCTTTTCGAGACAAAAACTGACAGTATCATGTGTATGGGATGATCGGGCAGGCGGGTATCTTAAACATTACTTTCAGACAAGTATGTCTCATTTGCAAGCAGTGTGTGAAATAATTTGAAAACCCAAGAAGACAGTAGGACAGGTGATCCATAAGTGTTGCCTGCCCATCTTCAAAGTTACCTGCCCGCATTCAGACATTATAAATATTAAAAAATCACCAAAAAAAAGGAGACAAATCTTGTCTTGATTCAGATGAAATAATGCAAACAATTACTTGAGAATCTACAAGGAGTTATAATAAAATTGAAAACATAAGTAGTCTTAAAATTATTCTGCCAGACAGTCGGGCAGGTCAGAAAAATGTCATGCAGCCAGACAGAAAAGTTACCAGCCATGAGCAGGAGGGCAGGCAGTTATTTCAGACACCGTTTACAACATTTATGCACACATATGAAGATAATTTTCAAGTTTCCACTAACTATGCCATCAGTTAAACATGTTGAACGGACAAATGAGTACTTAATTGAGCTAGTATCAGGAGGTAGGCCAAATGCCTTTATCTATTCAATGGCCAAGCGGTAAACATGTTACAAAGATAGCATGAGGGCTAACTTGTGCTAGTTTGAGGTAGGCAAAATGCCTTTATTACTTGCCCGTGAAGAGATCACCCGTTTAATAAACATACAGCTGTATTACACATTGTGTAATACCAAAACGCGTGCTTATGTACTTTTGGAACACGTTTCACGAATAAATATTGAAAACTCTCAACATCCCTTGGCTTATTCAACGACATTGCGTATGGAGTTGATAGATCACTGAGAGGAGCTTATGCACACTCGATGACCCCAGCAACCTTGTTGCTAGGCTGACGTCACATGGCATTGTTTCGCCGATGGATCTTGCAACAAAATTCCACAATTTACGTCATTGGGTATTGTGACGTGATTGTAAACTTTGAGGTGCAAGGTCGTTAGTCTAAGTTAAAGTATGTGATTTGCGATTAGACCTACGATAATTTTGTGGAACGGACGCCTGAATTTTAAAGGTGGACCGTTGGATGGTATTAAATTCATACGTTTCAACTTTTGACGTGTTTGAAGTATTGTTCTGTTAAACTCAATTTGAATATGCCGTGGATCGTGTAGGTGTCAGCCTATTCATACTCAACAGTATAATTCTAAAAACGTTATAAATGGCAAGTAATAAATAAAATACTAAACTCGCTCCCGTGTAAAACCAATTTTATGAAACTCGTGAATAGTTGTGGTATCTGACTCGCTTTCGCTCGTCGGATACCACAACTATTCACTCGTTTCATAAAATTGGTATTACACGGGAGCTTGTTTAGTATTCTATATTTATAACACAGTAGGGAAGTGTGTAACATGTCTCAACATACTCAAGAATGTAAAGATTAATAATCATAGTAAATTAACATAATTAAATATGTTCATTTCTCTTAATCATGTTAATCTACTGATTATTTTGATCTATAGCCACACATTTCTATATATCTTGGTTTAGTGATTAACACACACCTGATAACTTTGCTTTCATCATGTTCATCATGTTCAGTGGAACATAAAAGCCTAGAAATAGACTTCTTTCCTTTCATTTCTATCTTTTTATATTTATTTAAGGTATCAGATCTGTAAATAATGAACCAACTGAACACTGTATTGAACATGAAACTTTATTACCACTGATAACCTTAGAGCACAACAGTGCACGTATCATATTATATAGGACAATGAAAGATAGTATTGATTTAGTGAGTGTTTAGAATGAACACCTGCATTTGTCATTAAACTGAAATAACATACGTGCCTCAGTGTTTATTCTACTTCAATATACATGAAATATATTATGAGGTTGGAACAACTTTGCTAACAATGTATTTTGTCATCATCTTCGTGTTTATGCAACATATCTTAAAAATAGGTATTGATCATGTTGACACTTAATAATCATGATAATATTCATAGTAATTTTCACTATGCAGAGGTTTCATATTGCAACAAAGTAAACCATTATGTTTATCTATGGTACCATGCACATGATGCAGTGCCAGTCAAAGAACAACACTTACTTTTTTATGCAAATTCCTGGTGTCATCAGCATGATCAGTTAGTCACTGATTTTCAGTGATCCATTGATATAAATTTCACTGCTATTTTGCCTTTTACACCCAATGGTATCTGTTTCAGCAGATAACAGAGACTGGTTATTCTCTGGCTTTGACGTTATATATTTACTAATCTTATGTCACATTAGTGGTTCATCATGATTAGCATGATTAGGCCAGACCAATTTACAAATGACTTTACAAGACAAAATTACAAGCTAAAGAAATTGTGTTCCATTGTTCCGTCATCACGAGGTCATGTTGAATCAAACTATTCTTTAAAATGTTTTGCTTCTACCATCATCTACCATAGTCTACTTCTATTAGAACAGGGTTAAAACATAACACTAGCCCTCTAGCCTATGACTAGTATGAATTCCTACTGGCTAGTACAAATTTCTCCATTGTTTTAACAATACAAGGGTATTATATCTTTACCCGGGCTAGTAAAGCTTTTGAGTTTAGTTCTAATCCTGTTAGAACTGTTTCTTTTTTAATCATGTCTAACATGTCCAAGCAAAATTTAAATCCTCCATACACCATGATACACAACATAGTCAGTTAGAAACTAAGGAGGTCCCTGGAATTTGCTCCACAGTATTTAAAGTTCCATAAAAGTTCCATTTAGCTAAATCAAAATGTGGAAGAGTATCTTGACCTAACAATACTGATGCATATGTTGACGTTTACAATTGTTGTGATACCAAGAAACATGTTATGGTGCTATTATACTGCTATAAGCAAGGACCATGATCATGACAATCACGGATTGGAAACTGAACTAATGACAAGAAAATTCTGGCACAGCTAATGGACATAACTGTGCACAACAAGTTATGTAAACTTGGTAGTAGTATCAGACAACAAAACATCTTCTGGTACAGGGTTCATTCCTGGAACTTTCTGAAGTGGGCCCATTTAACATGTTTAGTACTGTTAAATGAAGTTACAAACAATTTCTATGTGATGCCTATATAATACAATATTATAAAGCCCCGCTGCATTGGAAAATGTGGGCCTATTTTTAGATTTATGGGCCAAAAGTCCAAGGCCCTTTCCCAGAATTATCCATGCTGGTATGTTTGTTGTTTAACATGTTTAACACTGCACTCAACAATAAATTCCAGCAAAATGATAGCAGTCTGTAAATAACTAAATCTGGACCGAAGTTACAAGTGGTTGATATTAATATGACAGGGTAGGTTGACACGCAAATAACCAAGTCTCCAAACCTGACCACTTGATCTTAGTAGTAGCTGCAGAACCATGTTAACACCAGCATGGGACATGACCTTAAGCTGAATCGCAAAGTGGTCTCTTCTGATAAACATGGTAGATCATTCCACATGTAGATATACAGATCAATTTGAACATGGTTGAGTCACACAACATGTTTCAGCAAAGAAGGAATCATGGTAAATGATTACTTCAAACTTTTTATAAATAAATCGAAAAGATACAAATTTCATGCATCCATCATGTCCACAAATGCCATTGTGCAGTTCTTGACAAAAGCTTATGTGACAGACATTGGATTCTCAGAAATTGGACCTAATTATACTCAAATACATATATAACATTACCCTATAGTAAGCACGATAGGGTAATCATTCCAATGTAAATTCAGTAATATTTTACCTGATGACCAGCATAGAATGCAATTTCTTCTGCATTTGTGATAATTCTTGAGTGAACATAGCGAAGGTATCCTTTGCGTTTAGCTTCCTCGGCAACTAGTTTTCCAAATTTTGGTGACATTGCTCTCAGGATTTTTGCAGTGACAACAATTGCAGTTGTTCCTACAATAACAGGTATTCTGGAACTAGCTCCTCGGCTGCTTGCAAGTCTGGAGAGGGTTAAAGACATTAAACATACATCCAGAAATGGTTTTGTCAAATGCGAGTACAAATGAGCCAGTGAGGTGGTAAATGATGTAATATCTTCCGTTAGACACTGATCAGCATTTGACAGACGACTGTCCAGGTTACTCACTCGGTAGTAAGTCTGATTGTTAAAGTATAATCCATAGGCATGGTTCACCAATTGTGATCTAAATGCCAGTGCAAGTTTGCTCTCCAAGTATCGAATCAAACTGTTCACAAAAGTAGCAGGTACAGCTATCAAAAGCCATTTGCTTAGCTGTAGGATGAATTTCATGACATCTCTCTGTACAATTGTCTTGACAAGGCTTCCATCCAAAGACGCTACGTATATGGACAAAAATGTCCTGGTGATCAGACTGATACTGTGGAGTATCAACAAGGCAGACTCCTGGCTCCATAACTTTGGAATAATTATCTTTAAGAGATATTTAAGCTGCTTGAAAAATCTTCTATCAACAGCTATTCTTTTCTTGTATGGTTTATTGTTTTCTTTTGAGACGCCATTCAATCGCACAATTTCTGAACAATCATGCGATTTGCCCTTGATGCCTGTAGCTTTGGCTAGAAGTGGATAATATCGCTTAGCTCCGTAAGCGGCAATAACACACAAAACTGCTCCAGTAGCAAGTTTCTGTTTTGTTATTTTTGCCTTCACGGCTGCATCCCACAATTTAGACATACCACTCATCGAATCACCGGTTTCGTGGCAAATGAACTACCGATTCAGTAGTTGCAGATATATTAAAATGCGTGACAGCCCGCCATCTTTAATCGCACGTGAAGTTTCACGACAAAGCGAGACTTTGTACCACAGCATATCGATATAGCCTAACAACTAATATTATAGAGATAGAATTAATATACAATATCAAATATCTACAATATTATGATTTTGCTAAACGTGTGTGTATTCCATTCTTAAATAACTAAAAGTTAAACTACGTATTTTACAGTATAGCTTTTATATTTATGATAACTCATTCACATTTTACTGTATATTTTAGAAAATATGTTTTCCATCACAATTTGTGTTAAAACATTGGGGTCAGTGCGTGCTAAAGCGTCGTCTGCTAGGGGTCAACCGTAGTTGTTGTTTTTTATCCACCGTTAATTGGATATACGAATTTACATAATAAATAATTGCCAGTCAGCACCTGTCCGGTGTTGTCTCTTTTTTAAAAACAATGAATTGGGTTGGAGGAGCAAGGAAAAGGGTGAAATTGCAGGGAGAAAAGAAACTGCAGAAGGTTTTGATGTGTTTATGATATTTTCTGGCCATGTTGACAGGTCGTATAAAATAATAATAAAATAAAATGCATTTTCTACGTTAATACTTATATTATACTGATACTGATTATTTTTGATAGCTCTATTAATAGCCTACATTACAGTTTTGAATTATATTGTTGTCTTTGACATGTTGATAATTTTTGGACATGTTGATAATTTTGTTAAACTAAAAGGAAGCATGAATGTAATATAGATCTATTAGATATGTAAGACTGAACAAGGAAAAAATGTGATAAATTGGATAATTTTCATCTTGAATACACAATATTTACAAACCTCTTCTGTATGAAAGGCCAGGCATTCATTTGTTGCATGATCTAATGTTAATTCATAATTGGTTACTTGTATCAAAGAGATGATCAATCTTGATTTGTAAATGACTCTCAGAGACAGAGATTAGGCCTGTAGGGGAATAAGGCACATCCAATTCATAGGCAGTCCCAGCAAATGTGATTCAAGTCATTCTAAACCCACTTATGTTTGGTAACAAAGATTTTATTATGTACATTGATCCAGCAATTAACAATTGCCCTAAATACACAGAGACAACTCCTCGCATCACTAATTACAATGTCTAAAGCCTTACGGTATTTGGAAATATTCAAATAGGCACCAGACCATGGAACATATTTCCACTTCAATTTGGAATATCTACTTGTCGTAACAATACATATAAATTGAGCAAACATACTCGGCTATTGGTCTTTATATCATGCAATTTCTGCCTGCCTTACCGAACACAGCAGATAATGATTATGTCATTACTGTTATTCAATTTGAATCATTGATGTGTTGAGGCCAGAAAGCAGAAACTTTGATCTTATGTTGATTTTAGGAATTCTTTGAAAGAAAACGACTGCAAGCAAAACCATGGAATCAATTTCGAAGATCACCTGCAGTGAAGAGCGGTGCTGTCAGTCGTGATCTACTGGCTCTGCAAACAGTTAGCAGGATACAATATTCAGATCAAGGTTTTTGTCTTAAGAAGAATGGATAAGAATTCTATACTGCTATCTATTTGATATGAAAAGAAATGCTTAATTATGTTATAAATCTTACAAAACATTGGGTAAGGGTATCTCCTTTCGTTTAACATCATAAATCATTAACCTTTAATATCAGTAAACTTAGGAAATATTATATTTAGATTGAGAATGTTGTTATGGAGTGACGGGGAGAACCTAATTGTTTTGTCTGATACCCAGCTGTTACAAGGCTATTACACACAGCTACGAATCACCAGTGTGAGAATAGTGAAAATCTGGAAGAACTACCAGTGGTTGCGTCAAAGAGTGTCTGTTCCTGTAGTGAAATTGTTCCTGTGTAAAAAATATCTCAAGGAGAATTATTCCCATCGAATAATTTTTTGGAGGTATTTTGGAAAGCTGTCTCGGTAGCTTGCACTTTCCAGTCTAGCATTGTAGAGAGTCTTGATGAAGTTGAAAGTCGAATTTTATTCATTAGAGTATTTGTTTTGTTTCAGATCTTTGTAAACCTGTGAGAAAATTAGATTTAGATAAGTTCAAGTCAACTGTCTGCGGTCGAAAACACGATGAAGTTGAACTTCCACCGTCTCCAAATGAAATACCATCAATGATTAACCTATTTGAACATGGATGTTCGTCAAACACAACTGGAACCTACAAAAGGTTATATTCATTTGATTTGTTTATTTGTTTGATTGATAGTACGCTTTTTTGTTTAGCTCACCTGGCCTTATGTCATTGTATGTCCGTCATTGTCATCCATAAATGTTTTATATTTTCGACTTCTTCTCCTAAATGGCTTGATGAAGTTATGATCACTTGTCTTTGTCATTACTTAGTTAATTTACATTTTTAACATAATATGATGCATTCACTTTGTAGACTTAAACTTCACTAGAATCTGAACAAGGGGCTAAAGTAACAGACCTTGATGTTTCGATAATTACTTATCAAAACAATTATGGTTATATATATGTGCTCAGAAAATGTCTCTATATACCAGTTCATGCATGTTTGTTTTCACAGCTTACCAACTTCCTCTTCCAAATCAAGCTCCTTCTGTCCAAGGAACACATCAGGTTCAGAATATGACACTAGTTCATCCTCATCTGCTTTGAGTCATCTATCATCTGCCAGATGGCAAGAAACTGACAGACATTTTCCTCACAAACACATGTCCTCTCAACACAGGATTTCAAAAAGCAACGGAAAGATTCTTGATCCGTTTGAAAAAGACTTTGTTGCATTTACAAAGGTTAGTTTTTGAAAAAACTTTAAGTTCATCTAAGGTTGTAGCGTTTTCAAATAGAGGGTTTGAAATGAACTTTTTCATCAGTTTCCCCCTTGGGCTAGGGAACAAAATCATTCTACCAGACTAGTATCAGTCTGTTTGCTTGAGAGAGGTTAATTCTTATTGTAATTTTGTTGTTGTGAAAACAACTTGAAATGGGATGCTAGTCCACTGTACTTCATTCATAAAAATACCAATTCACATCTCAAATCAGTTTAGTTAATTTCCAAACCTGTAAAGGAGATAGACTCAACCTGATGTGACCTGTATAATTTAGAGGTGTAACATCTACAACAGTTATTGTGAAGTGTTTGACGTCACATGATGTTTGTGCCGGAAGTAATATATATAAAATCCATCATGAACTAAGATTTGATGTACTTTTCTTATTGTTGGTTTATATATGAAAAGAAATATTTTTAAGAATTTCTGGGTTTTCTGACATTTGCTGACATAATATTTTAATATAGGGACCCCCTAAATTGTTAAATTATATCATTAGGGCCAGAACAATTTTATTATCCGCCGCCACGGTGTTACTACCTACACCGAAACCATCGCTCCTAATTGTAATAAAGAAGTTCGTCCATATGTCTCATCCTTACTCATTACAAATACAGTTACATATTCTATCATAAACTGCAGATGGCAAAACAACACCAGTAATAACTTTTTTTAGTGCTGCAATTAGACCATTTTCAAAAAGGCCCAGTGAACATAGTTCACAGGAGCTAACGCATTGCACACAACCGAACGTGTCATATTGGCGGGGGATATGAGTATTTCATGCTTGTTTTTATTGACACTTGCAGAACATCAGACCAGTGCCAGCGTTATTGAAGTCAGAGAAGCCTTTCAACAAAACTCATGTATCTAAGAGTGACCGATCTCACCAAACAAAAGATGACAAGATATCCTATAAACACAGTATTGCTCCAACACAGAAGAAGGACAAACTAAACAAGATGACCTTAGATCCTTGGATAATTGAAGATTTCAAAGCTACACCATTAGTGAGGTATGACACTGGCGTCAAGAAAGCAGCCAGATTAGCATTTCATGGTGGAGATACTTATGAGTCCTTAAAAGATAGAGGCTATGTATCTGAACAGCCAAAGCCAACATCATCACATCGTCATAAATTCCAGTGCAAGGATAATGGTTTGGGCTCAAACAAAGGACATGACAATCTGAGTTTACAGTCTTGTGGGTTGTTACTGGATCATGAAAAAAGCACAGTTCATGAGACCAGCTTACACTATGATGTATACGATGGCAACATTGAGAACCGATTCAGGGATTTTAAACCAAAAACAGAAGTGGGAGAGAGAGAAAAGTTAAGAAAAAATCAAGAAATGTTTTCTTTCTCAAATATCGAGAGGGGGAGTTTTGACATGGATAGCAGGAAGTCCAAAAACATGAGAGCATCATCACCACCATCACCTTTCAGACAGCATTTGGTTGATTTATTCAACAAAAGAGACATGAAATATACATTCACAGAATGTTTGGATTTAAAAAGAAATGACATCAGTCCAAGAGAGCATTATGGATTACAGATTTTGACAGACTATGATCTGATATTGTCATCAGGTACAAATGGAGATCGGTATGTCAGTCAATCTTGTATAGTCAAAAGTATTTACTAGACCCAGAGACCATATAATAGATATTATATTGTCTCTGCTAGACTGGACATTTTTGTTTTGGTTAACAGATTTAATTGTGAAAAATGTTAGTCAGTATGTTGACAAAAACCAAAAAACAAAATGCATTTCTAAGGTTTTTGTAAGCATCTTAAAGTTTGATATGTATCGGTAGGTAAAGTTCTTTTTTATGCACATTTTGGCCTGGTTAGAGTCCTAATATTATAATTCTAATATCTGACAGTGGTATTTCATTGTCATTTTTGTTGTCAAAGCCATCTTTACCATTGGAAGTATGACAATTTTATTTTTTCTCTGAATTTTTAAGTTTAAAACAAAGCCCGCAAAAATGTAAGGTCATATGGATGTGAAAAACATACAATGTGGTTCATTGTTCAATCATGCCATTAGTGAAACCAGAAACTATCGATGATAGATGCCATACATCTGCTCATAATGTTATATGTGATATTTCTGATCCATTACAGGAATCTGGAAGAGTCCATTTGTTAGCTGTAAACTGGTCCCAGACCAGCTGAGTTATTTTGATGGTTTGACCTTGTTATGTTTGGCCTTTCTCAAGTTTGTTCAGATTATTAATCTGAGTCCCTAACCATATTGAAAATCCTACTTAAACCACAATCATTGCTTTTATTTTATTGAGTTCAAATTTGGGGATCTTTAGGGCCAGGGGAGTCAACGTTGTTGTTGTGTAAACAGGCTCTTGTGATCCATGCTGTATGCGGTCGAGCATTGTCCTGCTGGAATACACCATTGCCGTTGGCTGCAATTGGGAGGACATGTGGTAGGAGAATTTTGTTGATGTATCGTTGAGCTGTAAGATTGCCCTGGATATGGACCAAACCTGTCCTGCCATGATGAGAGATAGCCCCCATCAAACCTGTCCATTTCCTGTACACAGTTTGCGGCGTAATGTTCTCCTCGACGTTTGTAGACCCGTGCTCTTCCATCCCCTCAACGGAGGAGAAATCTTGCATCGACGCTGAACCAAACATCTCTTCATCGCAGTTGAGGCCATACCCTGTGTTGACGACACCAATGCAGTCGTTGTTGATGATGTTGTCGACTCAATATGACTCGTAGAACAGGATGTCTTGCTCGTAGACCTGCTGCTCTTAAACGGTTTTGTATGGTCTGGTCGGAGATTCAGTGCAGTCCGGGTATTATGGGATGCAATTGAGGTGGCTGTGGTCGTCCTTTCACGTAGGTGGCGCAGTTAGATGTAGCGATCTTGAGTGGGGGTGGTTACTCCTGGTCGTCCCGACTTTGGCCGATCACGAGTTGACCCATGCTGTTGAAACCGATCCCTTACTTAGCCTTGTGATGGTGCTGGGCGCTACATTGAAAACCCTGGCTACAGCTGATTGGGATTCCCCTGGCTGCAAGTGGCCTATGACGTTTTTTTCTTTGTTTTCAGCAGAAAATCAGTAAATACATGTAAAGTAAGATCCCCACAAAAAGCTGATGTGTTTCTAAGTCCCGGGCTACCATATCTGGAAGAAGAACGCACGTTCAAGGTCAGTAGTTGTTAAAATGTTAAAATTATCTTTTCATGTTTTATTTTAATGGTCAACAGTAACTACAGTGCTCATACTGATGTCCACAGTGAAACCTTGAACTTGGAAAACCTTATATATATGGCTTATGATGATTTCATATATGCTCAGGGCCAAAAAAGTCAACGTGTGATGCATCAATAGATTTGATAAGTTGATTATTTTCGTGTGTGTGTGTGTGTGTGTGTGTGTGTATTTGTACAAATCTTCAGATTGTGTTACATTAGTAATAGTCTCATACCCTTTCACTTTTTTTCTCTCTTTTGTTTTCTAAAGAGAAAGGAGATAATAAAATGATATCATAAACGGAAATGATCTTGCGAAACATCTCCATAAACCAAATTTCTATTTACAGCTCATTCAAAGCGATACATACATTTGTCAATCTAAGTTAATATTTGAGACCTAGAAGTAGTATTATACATGAGATCAAAGGTAATGGTATGTTTCAGCATTATTAGAAATATACTTAACCAAAAAATAAGCAACAAACATTATTTTGTCGATTACTCTAAATTCTCAACAAACTAAAATGTATATGCCCAAGGTTCATTGAACAATTGCTAGACTTTAATGTTTTCCAATGTAATGTAAACTATAGGGTGATCACAGGGATCCCAAGTGTCCCATACCATCTCCAGAGTCCTCTACTTCCAGCTGTACCCAAGTCAAACATACCAGTGTCCAAGGTAACTGTACAACCCAACTGTAGCCAATCTTCAACAAAAATATGATGTAATAAAAGTTCTATTACTTTAATGACTAGCATGTCCAGTTTCCTTAGTGCTGTCATTTCGTTCTAGCCATAAGAAGAAAAATAATTAATTTCAGAAACTTTACCAACATCTCAAAGATAAAAGTATATGTTTAAAAAGAAATTCATTTGTAAATTACAGTCTGTGACTTTAGCCACTACACTGAAGTCATTGTCTAGTAAAATTGTGTTCTGGTACTGGTCTAATGCCTCTTTCAATAAAGGTAGATACTTGTTCACTATCAATTTATGAACTTTGCAAAAGCTATTGGCGATTTCATCTGTAGATTATATATTATAGCTGTGGATTACATATATTGTTACATGTAAAGATTGTGGAGTTTATGAAGATCGATAAACTTTGAACATTCAATTGAAAACTTATTATCGGAAGTAGTAACATGCATAACATTTTTTTAATAATGACAACATTGGTGTATAATAATAACTTTATTGATAATTTATAACAATAATGGCTGTAGTCGTGGCAACTTCCAAACTTTCGTGAAGTTGTAATCTATCGGACCGTCATTCAGGCGATGTTTCTGACAGATCACGATCTGAAAAATACTATCATGAAAGTGTATCCCGTGGATAAGCCGACCCCTTTCTACAGAATCTTTTTTCTGGTCCTCAAAATTCAGCTTATACGCGGCCATATACGGTAATAAAGTCAAAATCTACAGAAAGGATGATGCTCATAGCTGAGGTTCAGGCTTGTGGACTCAATAGTTTTGGCAAGACCGAAATTATACTGTAAAATTGACTGATATATTCAAAATATGTTCTCACTTGCAGATGAGTTATCAGATTTTGATTGGGAATTGCATGGTTCTTCTACAGTTTCTGCTGGTAACCAGGCAACAAACAAAGACAGGCACGTCATTATGTTTTAAGAACGGTTCAGTCTTTAAATTTGAATCGATATAATTTGGATACCATGTGTTGTGGTTGCACAATATAACACAATTTAAGGCATCTCTTGTATGCAGCACAACATGTCAGTAATGGTGAACCGAGATTTTCTATATTTGCAACATTTCCATAATGTTCAAAATGTGTGTTTAAAAGACTAAAGTGATACTTGTTACAGAGTGGTTAGTTGGATTAAGGTTTTATACATACTGAAACACTGGAGACCATCGTCAAAATGTGATCCTCACACGATTGATGTTTCTGTTATTTTCAGATTCAAAGCATCAAGAATTAGTGAAATCTTTGAAGAGGTTTGTAGTGTGTAATGTATGTAGTTTGTTATGTGTGAAATGAAATCTCTTATAATACAAATGGAAATTGCTACTTTATGCCATGGCTAACTGAGTTCTGCATATCAAACCTATTTTATTTCTAGATGAGACAACTAGAAAATGAATCACTAGAAGCACAGGGACGGGAAGATGGAAAACAAAGTATGATTTTGTTTATAGTCTTATTCATATATTCAGTGTTAAATGTACTTTTGAACAAGTCATTATCATTCAATGAGTTTAAAAAGTTTGCCTATATGCTTTAAATATTTGTGTGAGGGCTGAGAAAACAGGTTGTTTTTCCTGTGCAATTTTCATGATTTATATAATTATTTGTGTAGGATAGATTGTTATTTTAATATATAACATTAATTTCTCACTTTGAAGGAATATCAAAATACTGCATAGTCAGCAGTGTTTCACATTCAAGGTTTGGACATCATGTATATTCACTTTTGTGTGCCTACCCGCTAAGTGTAACAATTATGTTTCTGTATTTATTTACAGACACAGCTGTCACACCAACGGACAAATTACAGTCAGTGCGACAGGAGGTTTGTATTGGGAACATTATTTGTTTCATTCATACAATACATACATAAAATAGGAAGCAATTTGATAAGTGCAAATTATATTGTAATGAGATTAATAAAGCAATCAGATGTGATGTCAAGTTTTAACTAACATGTTTTGTGCCTATCATTTTCAAATGAAAGCAAGAGGCAAATTTGTTGTGGTAGCTCACATGCATTTTGCTTGTGAAAATATTTTGAATATTAATGGGGTTTTATGTAGTTTAATGCTCAACATGATTGAAGGTCTAAGTTGATTATGGGATGACACACTAAAATAATGTTGCAGTTCTCCTTTGTTAAAATATCAGTTAGGCATTGGTAAGCTACAGAGAGAGAGAGCAGAGAGAGAGAGGGAGGGAGAGAGCAGAGAGAGAGCAGAGAGGGAGAGAAAGCAGAGAGAGAGAGGGAGGGAGAGAGAGAGAGAGGGAGGGAGAGAGAGAGAGAGAGGGAGGGAGAGAGAGAGAGAGAGAGGGAGGGAGAGAGAGGGAGGGAGAGAGAGAGGGAGAGAGAGGGTGGGAGAGAGAGGGAGGGAGAGAGAGGGAGGGAGAGAGAGAGGGAGGGAGAGAGAGAGGGAGAGAGAGGGAGGGAGAGAGAGAGGGAGGGAGAGAGAGAGGGAGGGAGAGAGAGAGGGAGAGAGAGCAGAGAGAGAGGGAGGGAGAGAGAGAGAGAGGGAGGGAAAGAGAGAGAGGGAGGGAGGGAGAGAGAGAGCAGAGAGAGAGGGAGAGAGAGCAGAGAGAGAGAGGGAGGAGAGAGAGCAGAGAGAGAGGGAGGGAGGGAGGGAGAGAGGGAGGGAGGGAGGGAGAGAGAGAGGGAGGGAGGGAGAGAGAGAGTGAGAGAGAGAGAGAGAGAGAGAGAGATCCTCATTACTCACAATCAAAGTCAAGGACAATGTATATTGTTTAAGTATACCAATTTAGAAGCCCCACAATTTGATACTTTTCGTATACAAAAACAGTACATGCGTTCGATTAGTGAGTGACCTGAGTCAACCGAGGTTTCTACTGCCAGGCAGCCAGGGTTGACAAGATTCAACCTGAGTTAATCAGAGTTAGTCAAGGATAACACTTAGGGCAGTACCCAAAAATAAACGCAAAAATGCAATCTTGGTTTAATAATAGCTGCCAGAAGGAGAAACACAATAGCCATGTGTATTGCTATAACAACCAACGATGAGAAGTTAACAAGTGTTTCATTGCTTGACAAAGCTGTCATTTTACCTTTCTGTTTCATGCACGTAAAACAACTAGAAAGTTCATAATAATGCATGGAACTTCAAGCAAGATGCAAAATCATCATCAAATTTGCATTTGTGATTATAATCTATTTATATCAACAATCGAAAGTATTGCATATCAATACCTGATTAAGTATATTAAAAAAATGCTTACATTCATGATTGAATAACCAAATGAAACTAATTATGTCTCTTGGAATCTGCTAACTAGTGACATGCAAATAACGAACAGCAGTTATGATCAAAAGCTTTATAGTAATTTTAATTTGGGGCATGTACTGACCATAAGCTTCAACCAATGTTGTGGAATGTGATGGACACACTGATAGAGTCGCCTGTCACATTCGAAATTTGCATTGATGACAAGTGATACACACAGGTTAGAATGACTAAATCGGACATCTGTAGAATAAAATGTGCTAACAATCCCATTATATCCACAATTTACTTTATCAGGTATAAATGCAATTTGTTGATCTAACTTGTCCACATTCAATTTTACTGTTTTGTGTTGTTGTAACCATTCCTTTTCTAAATTGGAATAAAATAACTATTGACCTTCCAAATTTTGACCTGTCCCAGAGTAGCTGAAGAACAGACTATTGGCAATATGAAACCCTGTTCTAAGACAGGGTGCTTTTCCCCTCTTTTCAGTGTAAAAGCTTAACAGTGAAAATCATGAAAATTAAGTCCTTCTACGACCTTAAGTTGCTTTATCATAAGAAATATGGTAATGATTGTGAACATGCTGATCTTTCTTTTACCAGCAACACACATATGGGGATAAATGAATGTTGTATCTTGTGCTACAGGATGCTAGAGATATAGATGAGGATGCTATGAGTGAGGACCAGCTGGTGGTGAGCCAGGTGGTTCAGGACCTGGTACACAAGGTTGTACTGCAGGACTCACAGACTATCACACATAACTACACCTCCAGGTTTGCTATCCCATCCAGGGCAATCACCACTGCCCCTTGGAAGAACTTCAAGTCTGTATATGCTGACACATCTGCAAGAACTGAACCCATGAAATGCCACAATATTGCTTTTTCTCAAAATGCAAAGAAGGTTGTTGCATTTGTTGGCACATTGGGTCCTGAACAGTCTATGAAAAGTAGTGGCACACCCCAGTCATCTAGTGTACCTTCATCTAGTGTACCTAGTCCAGTTAACAACTGGTACAAGTTGGACCTCATTTCACCGATCCAAACAGTAGTATTAACACAGGAGTGTATCAAATCTTCTGCAACTCCCTGTCAGCAGCCCAAAACTATGGAAGAAAAGTTGCTGTCAGTGTATGAAGGTCTTGTCACGACTCCAAAGACAATACACATTAATAAACCCAAGTCTACACAAAAAATAACGAAGGTGAATCCAGAGACACCTGTCACTTCCAGTTGGAACAGACCCAGACTGATGGAATCATCTACAGGAAATGTCACCAGGGATGGAACCCTTAAACACAGTCTCAAAGAAAATGTAGAAAACAAAGACAATAATCCAGAAACTCCTGTCAGAGTTCCCCTATCTTCATCAGCAACACCTGCAGCAAGAATGAAATATGATAAACGGATTCCTTCAGCAGAACTGGCAGAGATGTTTCCTGTAAATGATGATGAGAAAAACTGTGACAGTTGTACTCAAACGGATTGTCAATTAACATGTGATTTTGGAACATCTCCTATAATATTCCCCTCATCAGGTAAATGTGATGCAGCCACACAGTATGACATTGAAAATGATTCCATGATGTTGAATGATGTTGAGATGTCTATGGAGCAGGGAGACAGTATCGAGTTGATGGACTGTGTGGTGCTGAGAGATGGGGTTCTTGGGGACAAACAGTGGACCATCAGCGATACCACATTAGACACTGGCTCCCAGACAGATGATACCCCGAAATACTCTCTCAGATCACGAAAAAAATCATTTTCCCCACATGTAGCATAGTTTTGGGTGAAAGTGATATTGATCTTGATTGATGTTGAGATGGTGCACATGGAGTTGATGGACTGTGTGGTGCCACTAGATAGGCCCTTCGGATAGACAATGGACTTCTTGTATTATTAATAAATGCACCACATTGGCTTACTGGATAAACATTGATAAACATTGTTGATTACTTTACCTCTTTTAGATATATTTGCATCATAAACTTGTTGTTCCCAGACAAAGTGCTACTGGATTTTGACTGAAATCAAACTTCCTGGGACTGCCAAATGGCTCTAGTTTAATGGCTCTTCAAGATGTAAAATATAGAGGAGACATTTAATTGTACAGTGTATTTGGATTATTTTAATATGGTGGCTCAATATTTGCACTTTTAATGTAAAATATTTTGAATCATGTGCATCTTGTGCCAGTGTTATATTTATTTTGCACCAGGTTCTTGGAATCAAATCACTGTGTATGTTTAATCTATTCATATTTCTTTCTGTCACAGTTATGTGTATGTTGTTTATGATGCTTGTGAAAGCAGTATATAAAATGGCTAAATCCTGTTTTGGAGTTTTATCTCATTGCAGTTGCAAAGTGGCTGACAGACAAACTGATGCCTTTAGGTCACTGATTGTCATTACATCAATCCTGTTGGCTAACAATTGCCTCAGATGGCTCAGGGAAGTATGAAGCAGTCCAGTCTAAGTCAGTTTTAAGAGACAATTCAACTTGAGTTGTGCATATAATTTTGGTATAAATAGCATTTACTGCGGACTTCCTATTTTTGAGATATACATGTCAGACCATTTTCCTTATTAGGTCACTGCTTGTCTCAATTAGCTCTAGATTTATTTGATACATGATAGAGAGTGAGTTAGTATGGATTAATGCTGCTTTTAGAAATATTCCATCAATATCATGGTGGGGAACATCGGAAATGGGCTTCACACATTGTACCCATGTGGCGAATCGAACCCAGGTCTTCAGCATGACGATGAAATGCTTTAACCACTGGGCTCCCCCACCGTCCTTGAATAAGAGATGCATCATAGATTTAAATACCCTGACTCTACGGTAGGTCCTACATTTGTATGGCGGATGTTTCAAGAAAATAGACTTAAATTCTTTTTACTGTTCTGTTTTAAAAATAACTGACAACAGTATAATTTGTTCATGACTGACAACACAGATTTTGCTCAAAACTTTATTTGTATTTTGACATTATACACAATTTTCATTTGAGCACTTGCTTCATCACATAAAAACAGTTTCAACACAAATGAAGTTCATACAGTTTACACCAGTATATATAATATAATGTACACAAAAAGTATGTACCAGCAATGTTCTAGAGATCAGCTATCACAATACATTTCAATTCAGTCTATTAACAATAACAACATACAAAATCAACGTGTCAATATGTTCCACTATCATATTTGTACAGATATATAGATACAGGTTATTCATTTACTCTGTTGCAATGAAACATTCCCACAAACACTTTGTATAGTGACAGTTTTAGTCATCTGAGTTTACACTGATATATGACCGTAACACATGTTCATAACATTTACTATTTAAATTACATTATCTGTTAACAGTTCAACAAAAAATATAATTAATTTCACTGTTCAGCAATCTGTGCCAAAACCTCTTGTGTCTTAGTAACCAGCTCTTAACATGATTTTCAGTAGATATTAGTGTTATTATATGGAATATTAATTAGCTCAGCTTACTAGACAGAACAGACTTTGACAAGATTTGGGCTTTGGACTAGTGGCTAAAGTCAGTCTATCTCATTAAAATCAGATCTTAGTTCTGATTTTAATGACATTGATGTCACAGTCTGGTACAGTGGGGTCAGTGCTATGCTTTGTTCACTGAATCTTTATCTACATATTGTTGTCTACAATGATAGTGAGTTACTGAAAGCACTGTTAAAAACATGTCCACTTTATTCTAACAACATATTGTGGTCTACAATGGCAGTGAGTTAATGCACTTATAGCACTGTTATAACCATGTTCACTGACTCCCTACTGAACCTATATACCATAAATCCTTGAATAAGTGCTGGAGGTTAATTTATGTAAGAAGTTCCTGACACCAGGCATTAACTTGGGGCAGGCGATTACTAGTATTCATAGATGTGTTTTCATTATTTTCATCTAGTTTCAAATGTGTCTTCTTGATGTCATGAAATATTTCAATCAAGATTTCACCAGGCAATTTTTAAGGCAGGTGCTTATTTATGGCAGGCATTTAATCGAGGATTTATGGTAGCTGTTGAAGCTGTTCTCCAACTGAAAGCACCGTGTTTGTTTCAACCTTGCCATGCCCAGTCTACAAACAGGCAGTGATAGAAATTATATATATAAAGCATGTCCTAGAAGGTTATTGCTATACAATTTGAATAAAGTGACCTCTAATTTTTAACCTTAACATTAGGGTTATGATGAGGGAGTCTTAACTTTGATACTTAATTTCAAACTCTATACAGGCAGATAAACCATTGTGTTATTAGTAAAATACTTTTATATTATCAGAAGGTTGCAGACAGACTGATTGTTCACACATCTAAGTACACATACATGGGTAGTAAGGCCATAACAGTAGAGAGTCATCTTCCAGTCTTTATTAATACACTTTGCTTCTACAGGGGTCCTCACATACAGGAATCAGTCAGGGAAGCAAACTATTACTAATATATCTTTTAGATCTGTGGACAAAATTGAAAAATATATTTAATAACAAACAGTGTTTTTCACCAAATATTTAAATATCATTTCTTTTAGGCATTAGTGAATTTTCAAAACTTTATTTTTGGCAAGTTATCAAGAATAAGGTCCTAGTGTTCTTAAATACTGCTTTTAGCCACATTAGAATATCTACTGTATTTCCTTGAATAAACGCTCGGATGTATATTTCTTCGAAACACACTTTATCCCTGGCGTTTAATTGCAAAGATAATAATGATGAGAATACCGGGCACAAAAATTACCAGGCGTTTAATCAAAAAAATATGGTAGCTATCTGATAGTTGTAAATTCCCAGAGTAGAGATAAATGGTTCAGTGCTGATTTGTCCAAGTGTGGCTATATTATAAGGCAAGTATGTTAAGATCTCTGCCTACAGATGTACAGAACCTTCAACTAGCACAACCTGTTAATCAGTTTTCTCTTTTTCCATTTCAGCACCAGGGCATATTGCTACATTGATGTTACATATACTCATGCATATAAATCTCACCAAAAATATCTTTAATACAATTACATAATCTAACACAGAGAGCAATGGTACTAGGTTTCTAATTCAAAGATTAGTACAAAATGTAGTTAAAAAAGTACACAAACCTTGGATTTGATTAAAAACATGTTTCAAAAAAGCATATCTATGTGTTAAAGCTATACACATGGTGGCTAGAAATGGATGTTCATCAGTGGGATCATATTCATATCCATAACCCATCACTACAGAGGCAATAGTAAAATGATGAAAACAACATTAGTTAATAGGTAACCCATAATATCAAGAACTGATCAAAATGAGAAAGTGCAGTCTATTGTGGCCTTGGAATAAACAAATGTCATAGGAATCACATCTATTGGTTACATTCTATTTAATGATGCTGTGTTTTCTAATGCTATGCATAGTATGTGCGTAGCAATACATCACCAAGTTCTTGAATCATGCATGTAGGACTCCGATCTATGGCAGGTCCTAGAACCATGTATGTAGGACTCCGATCTATGGCAGGTCCTTGAATTATGCACGTAGGACTCTGATCTATGACAGGTCCTTGAATCATGCATGTAGGACTCCGATCTATGACAGGTCCTAAAATCATGCATGTAGGACTCCGATCTATGGCAGGTCCTTGAACCATGTATGTTGGACTCCGATCTATGGCAGGTCCTTGAACCATGTATGTAGGACTCTGATCTATGGCAGGTCCTTGAACCATGCATGTGGGACTCCGATCTATGGCAGGTCCTTGAACCATGTATGTTGGACTCCGATCTATGGCAGGTCCTTGAACCATGTATGTAGGACTCTGATCTATGGCAGGTCCTTGAACCATGCATGTAGGACTCCGATCTATGGCAGGTCCTTGAACCATGTATGTAGGACTTCGATCTATGACAGGTCCTTGAATCATGCATGTGGGACTCCGATCTATGGCAGGTCCTTGAACCATGTATGTAGGACTCCGATCTATGGCAGGTTCTTAAATTGCCCCCGTTACTATCTTACCCCCCAGACACCCTGTACTATACATATAGGGTCAGTTGTATCTTAGGGTAGTCTCAGGACTAAGTTGTACATCATGCTTACAGGTCATAGTAAGATCTACTATTGAAAGATCTGAGAATCTGCCCTAGATCTCAGTCCTACCATAGATCTGACTCTCACATATATATGCTGTCACAAAGTGAGGTAAGAAAGTCCATACATGTCTAAGGAAAGAAAGCTACTGAGAAATGTTGTCACCAAGTATAGGAACGACACAACAGTCGTCAACAAAATGTATCTTTCTAAGTTGATCTAACATGGACTAAGAGACACACAGACGTTTTTCAAGTTACCCAAATTTTGGAAAAAGAAAAATAGAAAGGAAAGTCAACTATAGTGTTCTATTGAAAAAGAAATTAACCATAAACCAACACTGGCTATCCTTTTTTTGGATTAAATTTAGACTCTTGACTCAGTGCATAGTAACCAAGAAAAAAAGGAAAACAAGAAGTTCAATAGGATTAGAGACATTTCAAGAGATTCACTACCCTTCAAAGTAATTTACTGTGAGTCTTTCATGACAGGTGATTGAACTCAACTATATAACATGATGACAAGCCAATTCTGGCCATAAAGTTAGGTATCACACGTTTGTCAGTTCATTGTAGTACATGTATTTATTTTAGGTTATCTCTGTACCGGGAATGTGACACTCTGCCCTGTAGATAACACAAGGATGGGATGATCAGCCAACCACGTAATTAGGTGAACTCGTATTTGGACACAATCGCAAAATCAAATTTCAATAATAGATAGTGTGATCTATAAATAATTGATAACCAACAAATATTTTGGAATTCAGCAGTAAATGAGACATATGGTACATCTGCATAAGGTTTTTTATTATACCCGAGACCTAAAAGGTCGGGGGTATATAGTTTAACCAAGGTTCCGTCTGTCCGTCCGTCCGAAAACTTTGTCCGTGTGATTTCTCTTAAACTATTCAGTGGAATCATCTCAAACTTAGTACATATAATCTGTGTCATATGGAGGGGTGCAGTCAAAAGAAAAAAAATGTTTTTATTAATTTTCCATTTTTTAATGAATTTTTCAAACCCTAACCCTATCCATTATTTAATTTGAAACTACTGACACACTAGGTGGGTCGGGGGTATTAGTGAGCCATGCTCACTTTGGCCCTTGTTAACAGACATTTGAGACTGTCAGTATTTGTATTTGTCACAGTGTTGATTGTCATGTGTATAACTGATAACATGCCCTAGAAAGCAGGGAGGTCAGCAACATCAGATTACATATAAACTTGACCCACGTGCTCTCTCCTTCCACGTTGCATCATTTTTATCAGATAGTAGCATGTTTCCCTTGTTTATGGTCCACAACCATTGCATACGTTGTTCTTCACATTCGTGAGTCAAAAATAGTACATCTGAGAATGCTTGATATCTTGGTTGCACATCCAACATTTAACACCATGAAATGCCCAAATAATAAATGTTAATGCAGCAGCCTGTTCAACTGATGAACAATGCAGTATGTGATGGCATCTGCCTCTATCATAGTTTATAGCTGTAGTGTCCAAGTTCACTATCATAGTTTATAGCTGTAGTGTCCAAGTTCCCTATCATAGTTTATAGCTGTAGTGTCCAAGTTCACTATCATAGTTTATAGCTGTAGTGTCCAAGTTCACTATCATAGTTTATAGCTGTAGTGTCCAAGTTCACTGTCATAGTTTATAGCTGTAGTGTCCAAGTTCACTATCATAGTTTATAGCTGTAGTGTCCAAGTTCACTGTCATAGTTTATAGCTGTAGTGTCCAAGTTCACTATCATAGTTTATAGCTGTAGTGTCCAAGTTCCCTATCATAGTTTATAGCTGTAGTGTCCAAGTTCACTGTCATAGTTTATAGCTGTAGTGTCCAAGTTCACTATCATAGTTTATAGCTGTAGTGTCCAAGTTCACTATCATAGTTTATAGCTGTAGTGTCCAAGTTCACTATCATAGTTTATAGCTGTAGAGTCCAAGTTCACTGTCATAGTTTATAGCTGTAGTGTCCAAGTTCACTATCATAGTTTATAGCTGTAGTGTCCAAGTTCCCTATCATAGTTTATAGCTGTAGTGTCCAAGTTCACTGTCATAGTTTATAGCTGTAGTGTCCAAGTTCACTATCATAGTTTATAGCTGTAGTGTCCAAGTTCACTATCATAGTTTATAGCTGTAGTGTCCAAGTTCACTATCATAGTTTATAGCTGTAGAGTCCAAGTTCACTGTCATAGTTTATAGCTGTAGTGTCCAAGTTCACTATCATAGTTTATAGCTGTAGTGTCCAAGTTCACTATCATAGTTTATAGCTGTAGTGTCTAAGTTCCCTATCATTGTTTATAGCTGTAGTGTCCAAGTTCACTGTCATAGTTTATAGCTGTAGTGTCCAAGTTCACTGTCATAGTTTATAGCTGTAGTGTCCAAGTTCACTATCATAGTTTATAGCTGTAGTGTCCAAGTTCACTGTCATAGTTTATAGCTGTAGTGTCCAAGTTCACTATCATAGTTTATAGCTGTAGTGTCCAAGTTCCCTATCATAGTTTATAGCTGTAGTGTCCAAGTTCACTGTCATAGTTTATAGCTGTAGTGTCTAAGTTCACTATCATAGTTTATAGCTGTAGTGTCAAAGTTCACTGTCATAGTTTATAGCTGTAGTGTCCAAGTTCACTGTCATAGTTTATAGCTGTAGTGTCTAAGTTCACTATCATAATTTATAGCTGTAGTGTCCAAGTTCACTGTCATAGTTTATAGCTGTAGTGTCCAAGTTCACTGTCATAGTTTATAGCTGTAGTGTCTAAGTTCACTATCATAATTTATAGCTGTAGTGTCCAAGTTCACTGTCATAGTTTATAGCTGTAGTGTCTAAGTTCACTATCATAATTTATAGCTGTAGTGTCCAAGTTCACTGTCATAATTTATAGCTGTAGCGTCCAAGTTCACTATCATAGTTTATAGCTGTAGTGTCCCAGATCCCTATCATAGTTTATAGCTGTAGTGTCCAAGTTCACTATCATAGTTTATAGCTGTAGTGTCCAAGTTCACTATCATAGTGTAGTGTCCAAGTCTAATGATTTGTCTTTGGAGATAGATTAAAACATTATTGTTAATTTGTAGGACCAGTGCAGAACAAAATAAATGTACATTGAATACTCCAAATACAAACAGAACACTCTCTTGTCTAAATGCATGAGGTCAATTATGATATGAAACCCTCTCAGGTGATTGACAAAATGTTCAAAATAAGAAATAATAGAACAGTTTGTCAAAATATTAGACCAACAGCCACTTCAAGCAGCAAAACAGATTCCTTCCTAACAACTATCATTATTGTGAAAACGGCCATGGAAATGCAACATTAATATCAATATCTATGTTCCACACAGAGATAAATCTTGAAGACCAAGTGAAACATGTTTCACATGTGACATACATCCGTCACATTTCATTACAACACTACTGTTAGTATTCAGCATGTCATTGGTGTCTTTTGACAGAATGATACATGTATACAAAGAACAAAAGAAAATGTAACTACCTATATCAACTCCTTGTATGTACTGAACTATCAACACGGGCTATCTACACTATGCTACATTTATACACAATATAGCATGATAATATAATTCATAAAATAGAATTTGATCACACGTATCCCATATGATTTGTACACCCTCCAAGGATGGACACCATGAATCACATCCAATTAGTCCATCACTCAGTTCGGACAAGTGCTTTATGTGACACAACTACGGTATTTATGTTAGACAACAACTTGTCCATCCAAACCATCACTAGTTTGCGACTATCTGACGAGTGTCTGTGTCTAACCCTGCTTTCAGTAAAGTGTCATAAATGTTTGCACTCCCTATTAGACACTACAGAATGAGATCAAAGGTGAAATGACAAAGTTTTTGTATGAGGATTTTATATACATGAATCCAAATCGTGTCTCTTTCCCTTCCTTCCTACAAACATTTGGAATCAGCTTTAACACGCATAGTCACCACCTTCCTGTATTGGTATTAAACATAGTATTTTTCAAGTTAGATATGCAACATATTTCAAAATAAATTATAAACATATCCATTGTCGTAAAATAATATTTGTTCACACTCAGTTAAATTCACATCCTTTACTAAAGCAGAGCAGGTATACATATTTATATCCAATAGATCCCTCATTTGGTGATATTTCAATCCTAATACAATTCTAATACTTATTGTTGTGTAGTGTAGAAGTTTATCTCTTTTCTGAGTCAGTTTATCATCGCCGGGTCAACAGATTCAAGTCGTGGACAGGTCACTCTGGGGACTCTAGTTCGGATTCTCGGCCATCCCGATTGAGGCCACGTATGTGGACGTATTGAACAGTCTTGGTGTTATAGTTGACTGGGGGTCCCTCCCCCATCCATGACCGAGCAAACAATCCTTCCACTTCCTCTAGTGTCTTGCCCTTTGTTTCTGGTAATATCATTGCCAGTATTATTGCACCAAGAAAAGCCAGGCAGGCATACAACCAGAAAGTACCTGAAAGATGAAAATATACAAATTTTATACATGGGATAGTTTTGTTGTGTGAAGTAAATTTTGATGTGTGAAGTAAGTTTTGTTGTGTGAAGTAAATTTTGTTGTGTGAAGTAAGTTTTGTTGTGTGAAGTAAATTTTGTTGTGTGAAGTAAATTTTGTTGTGTGAAGTAAGTTTTGTTGTGTGAAGTAAATTTTGTTGTGTGAAGTAAGTTTTGTTGCGTGAGGTAAAATTTTGTAAAGTCAAAGTCCTTGGGACCATCACTGATATTCAGTAACAACAACAACAACAACAACAACAACAGTTTGTTGAGCGCATAGCTCCACATGCACTGTATACTCTAAGCACTACGTTATTAACTGTCAATGTATCAGTGTTAATTGATTATTTATTCTCAGCTGTATGTGGAGTATACAACCCAAGCTGCCTGTGAGGTGCTAGAAAGTTAACAATCCTGTTGCTATTTCATCCTACCGGGTACCCATTCAATGCTGGGTGAAAAGTGTCCTATTTAGAACAAAGTCCCTTGCCCATGAAGACGGCACATGTGTTGCATGTGCTTCAGTGTGGGGCAGGACGGAAACCCAAGAAACTCCCAGGAGCCACACCGCTGGACAGGGTAACCCAACCAATGACTCTCTGTGACCAACTTTAAGTAACTTCACCTCATTTGTGACCTGTGCACTGTACACAGGATGACAGGCCAACGTAAATCGGTATAATTTTTTGTCTAGAAAGATTAATCAAGTACAGCCTGGCCTCATGAGGTTTCACTGTGTATCAAGAACATCACTGTCATACATTGAACTAACACATTACTGGTGTAATACATTCAACAATAACACCATACAAGGGATCTTTTATAGTGATAAGCTTTTAAAAAAATCTTACTTCATATCTATTGATTAGGAAATCATATCTTGATTGTAAAAAATATAGTTTAAAACCCCCTTGAAAAGCAATCCAAAATATACGGTATTTTACGGATCTTCACTGATGCAGAGTCATTGAAGGGAGTTAACTCTGTTACACTTGTTTACATTTACAGACAAGGTATGTGGAAGGGCTGGCACGAGTCCAAATTTACTACCCGGGTACCTGACGCCCTATTACCTGATCCTATCCTGTTAATCCACTGTAGGTCTTGAGAGTTGGGAACAAATATTCTGATTGGGAATTGTTTTACCAGAGTCCTGGCAAAAACTATTCAGAAACACATATAAAACAATCTGATCATGCATACACTGAAGTTGACTAAAGCTTTTTCTTTACTGTAACATATAAAAGTCAGCAGGAATGCGTACATAGTCAGAAGGAAATGTGAACATTAGCAGATTGTACACCATGGAGTTTTATTCTTTTCGTCATTGACCACTATATTATGGACTAACCATGGTCCAGGTAGATCTGTGGGTCCAAGTCAGGACCCACTTATCCCGAGTATTCAGAGCTACCCCTCCCAGCCCTAATGGGGAGTATCTTTATCTGTTTCACATTCACACCAACGTTTTCACTTGAAGTCATCCAGCGAGTCAGTGAATTTGATTTTTACACAGCTTTTAGCAATATTTCAGCAATATTACAGCGTGGGACACCAGAAATGTCTTCACACAATGTACCCATGTCGGGAATCGAACCAAGGGTTTTCGGTGTGACGAGGGAACGCTTAAACCACTAGGCTACCCGACCACCCCACCCTACTTCAGTAAGAACACTATGTATTACCATATCTTGTGAGTGTCTCAGTGAGACTGATGAAGGACATGGACACAGCCAGGTTGAATGCCCAGTTGGTGAAGGTGGACACTGCCGTCCCAACGCTCCTAGCCCACAGTGGGTAGATCTCAGAGTTGATGGTCCATGGCATGGGACCCATACCTTCAACACAAACAAATCAGAAATATTTCCTTCTTAAGTAACAAGTAAATAATATTTAATATTCATAACAAAATCACAGCCTTTGCTTACTTCAGAATTCTCTTTCAGATTGATTTAGCTGAAATTTGAAATTATTGTTCATATTGTGACAGGATGCAGGAAATAGATTTACAGAAATAATTGGATAGCGGGTCCTTGACTATGACTGTTCACAAGCCAGTAGGCTTGCTCTTGTAGAACGGTAACAAATTAGTTTGGCCAAAAATAAATTACAGGGACTGGCTGTTTCATAAATGTGCTGTAGATAATTATTAAAGAAGTGTTCACTTCATGTCTTCACTTGTTTAACCGTTTAGTTTGTTTGTTGTTTACTTCTTCACTCAACAATATGCCAGCTGCATGTAAATAATCAAGTCTGGACCAGACAAATCAGTGATTGATGTCATGAGCAGTGGGCCAATGAGGTATGATGGCTTTGTTATCACTGAGCCTGACATACCGATACATTGATTTCTTACAACCAACACAGGTTGCTGGGTACCAATCACCGAGTCTGACAAACCGATCCATTACGTCCTACAACCAACACAGGTTGCTCGGGACCAATCACTGAGTCTGACAAACCGATCCATTACCACTTACGACCAACACATTTTGCTGGGAACCAATCACAGAGTCTGACAAACCGATCCATTACGTCCTACAACCAACACAGGTTGCTCGGGACCAATCACTGAGTCTGACAAACCGATCCATTACCACTTACGACCAACACATTTTGCTGGGAACCAATCACTGAGTCTGACAAACCGATCCATTACGTCCTACAACCAACACAGGTTGCTGGGAACCAATCACCAAGTCTGACAAACCGATCCATTACGTCCTACAACCAACACAGGTTGCTCGGGACCAATCTCCGAGTCTGACAAACCGATCCATTACGTCTTACGACCAACACAGGTTGCTGGGTACCAATCACTGAGTCTGACAAACCGATCTATTACGTCCTACAACCAACACAGGTTGCTGGGGACCAATCACCGAGTCTGACAAACCGATCCATTACGTCTTACGATCAACACAGGTTGCTGGGGACCAATCACCGAGTCTGACAAACCGATCCATTACGTCTTACGATCAACACAGGTTGCTGAGTACCAATCACTGAGTCTGACAAACCGATCTATTACGTCCTACAACCAACACAGGTTGCTGGGGACCAATCACCAAGTCTGACAAACCGATCCATTACGTCTTACGATCAACACAGGTTGCTGGGGACCAATCACCGAGTCTGACAAACCGATCCATTACGTCCTACAACCAACACAGGTTGCTGGGGACCAATCACCGAGTCTGACAAACCGATCCATTACGTCTTACGATCAACACAGGTTACTGGGGACCAATCACCGAATCTGACAAACCGATCCATTACGTCTTACGATCAACACAGGTTGCTGGGGACCAATCACCGAGTCTGACAAACTGATCCATTACGTCCTACAACCAACACAGGTTACTGGGGACCAATCACCGAGTCTGACAAACCGATCCATTACCACTTACGACCAACACAGGTTGCTGGGTACCAATCACTGAGTCTGACAAACCGATAAATTACGTCTTACGACCAACACAGGTTGCTGGGTACCAATCACTGAGTCTGACAAACCAATCCATTACGTCTTACGATCAACACAGGTTGCTGGGGACCAATCACCAAGTCTGACAAACTGTTCCATTACGTCTTACGATCAACACAGGTTGCTGGGTACCAATCACCAAGTCTGACAAACCGATCCATTACGTCTTACGATCAACACAGGTTGCTGGGTACCAATCACCAAGTCTGACAAACCGATCCATTACGTCTTACGATCAACACAGGTTGCTGGGGACCAATCACCAAGTCTGACAAACTGTTCCATTACGTCTTACGATCAACACAGGTTGCTGGGTACCAATCACTGAGTCTGACAAACCGATCCATTACGTCTTACGATCAACACAGGTTGCTGGGGACCAATCACCAAGTCTGACAAACCGATCCATTACGTCTTACGATCAACACAGGTTGCTGGGTACCAATCACCGAGTCTGACAAACCGATCCATTACGTCTTACAACCAACACAGGTGGCTGGGGACCAATCACCGAGTCTGACAAACCGATCCATTACGTCCTACAACCAACACAGGTGGCTGGGGACCAATCACCGAGTCTGACAAACCAATCCATTACGTCCTACAACCAACACAGGTGGCTGGGGACCAATCACCGAGTCTGACAAACCGATCCATTCTGTCTTACGATCAACACAGGTTTGCTGTGGACCAATCACCAAGTCTGACAAACTGATCCATTACGTCTTATGACCAACACAGGTTTGCTGTGGACCAATCACCAAGTCTGACAAACCAATCCATTACGTCCTACAACCAACACAGGTGGCTGGGGACCAATCACCGAGTCTGACAAACCGATCCATTCTGTCTTACGATCAACACAGGTTTGCTGTGGACCAATCACCAAGTCTGACAAACCAATCCATTCTGTCTTACGATCAACACAGGTTTGCTGTGGACCAATCACCGAGTCTGACAAACTGTTCCATTACGTCTTATGACCAACACAGTTTGCTGGGGACCAATCCAGCCCAAAATGCCCACAGGGTTCAGTTATAGCACAGTCCAGTGATTTCACTCACCTGGAGCAAAGAAGACCAGGTACAGCACAAGTCCCACCATCGGCATCCAGGAGTACTGGGTGGGGCAGTAGTCGTAGGCCCAGGTGATGGTCCCTGGGAGTTCGCTGGAGTTGCAGCGACCCTGTGTTGCCAACCAGGGATTGTCGTAGCTGGTTGGTAGACATGACGAGTTGGCAACAGCGTCACCAGCATCAACATAGCAGAAGCCACAGTTTAGGTCACGACGGCAGTCATTGCAGATTCTGGAAAAGAGTTGTAGCTAGTTGTATGCATTCAGTATGACTTCAATCTTGAAAATTAACCGCAGTGACACAAATTGTCTGTAAAAACAAATAATGGATGTTATTAAGATTTATCATCCAAAACTGGCTTCCACAGAAGATATTGCTTGGGTGAGATCAATGAAATTGCATCACAATTCTTTGCAGACCATCGTGACATCATATGTTACCATGACATCACAATGAAATGACATCACTAATCTATCTGCCACTGATGTTGGTTTGTACTTTTTCCACTTATGACACAAACAACTTACAAAAGTAGGAAGGATGATTTTGGATGATAAACAGAATCTTGTGTCTTTTGATATGAAATATATATACTCGTCGATAAAAAAGTTAAACTCCTCGGCAAGTCTTGGAGGTTTATAAAGGGCTTATTGACTCGTTTAACTGTAATCTGTTCATACTTCTTGATGATATATTGGATATAGCTTTAGATTGTTCAGTTGTTTGATCCCCTGGCCGCGTCCTACTGAAGGAAGTTAAAACATGGTAGTTGTTGTTACCCTACCTATAGCACTTGGCATCAAGGGGGAAACACAAGGACTGCTTAACTTGGAGTCAGTAGTATCTCATTTGGGTGGCACTATAAAATCGATATTAGAATCTTCAAAACAATGCTAAACCCCATGTCATCTCACCCCATCTTTATGAAATCCCCTCACATGGCACTCACCTGTATCTTGCACAGTGGGATTCTGCAGTGGAAGGCTCTACCAGATCTATAGGGGGCGTGTTGAGGGCAGACAGGTGGAACCCAACTGCTAGCCAAGCTAAACTCACTATGGCGCCTGTAAAGTCAGAAATACCACATGAAACATTCATCCAACAAAAATATTGTACAGAATGCAATCTGTTATGTACTTAAGTGACAAAATACTGTATTTATCTGAAAAAATTGTTAAGATTGATATCGCACTCGAGTGAAGTAACACTTTATGCTGGAACTACTTTCAATCTGCTTCAATGACACAATGCTTTTTAGTGTAAAATTGTGAAGATCCATAAGAAAATACATGCAAAAAATGTCTGTAAATACACACACACGGCTCCGAAACATAAGATGTATTACACTTTCAGATGTGAAGACTCAAGACTTAAGGTAATGTCAATAAAGGAGACATTAAAGTATTAGATACTAGATCTAACATTTCAATAAATGAATGGTTTCAGTTGAATATTGGTACCTCAATTATCTATCAGAAGCATAACAATTGGAAATAAACTGATGAGAAGAAATAAGGGAACACAGATACAAAGCAGAAACTATTAAGGGGTAGTAGGAGTGGGGTGTGAGTAGAAGGTTTGTGATGCACTAATGTACAGAAAATAATCACCCCCCCCCATATCCATGTACATTTTTTTTTCATGAACCTTCCTGAAAAGACAAAATGTAAAGCACTTTATATTTTACCATAAACTGTCCATTTCTTCATGACCCCCAGCCCCAACTCTGAATATGTGTATAATTTTTATGACCCTCCCCTAGAGACTGTCATATTTTTTGGTGACCCTCCCCTGATTCCCTCTGCCCCTTCCCCCACTCCATATAAAAAAAATAAAAAAATAAATGACCAGTCCCTAAGGCAACAAAAGCATTCAGCAAAAACTTGTTCTCTTGTTGTTGGAAAGAAAATGATTTTTTTCTTCTTATGTACGATTTCTCCAGTATGACTGCACCATATGCAGTTTGGAGGAAATTGGAAATCCTGTCCAAGAATATGGTGACATACCCATAAGACTTCCTAATGTCAGTGGGCGTCGCCCAATCTTCTCTACCAGATACAAGCCAAGAAGAGTAAACAGGAAGTTGACTGCAGCTGTTACCGCTGACAACCATATTGCAGCTTCATCACTCTTGACCCCAGACATGCGAATAATGGTGGCACTGTAATACCTGGAATTATAGGAAATGCATGAGACATAATTACTCCAGCTCCACAACGGGCTGACTTCCCTGAAGCAATAATTACGTAATCAGTTTTGGTCAATTTCACTCAAATAAACTTCCTTCATGCTGGGTATGACTGGCCTCCGTGCTTATTGAACACATTACCGGCCTGACTGACACCAATCTCCTTCAAAAGCAACTTCTCATGGTGTAGTGACTGAATGAAATTCTGAGACATATCACTGGACAGGGTATCGACCGATTCATTCAAACTATGCACTTTATATTGACGAGGAAAAATCATTCACAGACAAGGTCGATAACAGACTCAAGGCAATTTACTCTGAATGAATCTCACTGATTGAGCCATCTAACAAATTATCGCTATACTCTTTCTCCGTCTCCTACTTTTATGAGATTTACAATGAACATGGCTTGGTAAATGCCTTTATCTCAATTCTGTCTGCACGATTGTGAAAGTTGAGATAACAGTATGGTATGTTTTAATGCAGCGGTGATTAGGGAAACAGAGGCATTTCCTGGACAGACAAATCACCCCATGAGCTACAGATGCCATGACTGTGCATGTCCATGTCGGGTAGCATGACCAGTTGATAAATACAGGCATGGTTCAGACATGCCATGGGGATGTCTTACAAACTGAACAAGTATCGGTCTAGACATTGTTCTGTAGTAGAGATTCTCTCAAGATAATTCCTTTCATAATGAAAACAGATTCTTGTTCACAAATTATTCATGATACCATCACACTAAAAAAGGACAAAAGCTTTGTTTAGAGAAGTTTTGGATAGTGACAAATTCTGTTGATATAAATAATCAGTGTGAATGTCTTGAAAACGGATCTGTCATAACTGTCTTTGTCAAGAGTATATGGATAGTTGAAACTTTCTCCATGGCAACTCGAGATCTTGATCGAGTGCAATGACTGTCATAACTCCAGTCCTCCAACACTGATTTAGGAGGATTCAAATCATTTACAAATTTATTTGGCTAGCTTTCAGAGTTTATTGGGATCCAAGTAACTGATATGAAATGTGTCTGCGATATGCGTAATTCCAGAAGTGATGAGTGAGAACATCAATAGAACTTGGTCCCTGTGTACAGCGCTTCCAAAAGATCATGCAAGACTTACATGACTGTGTTGATACCAGCAACTTGCTGAAATATCTGCAGACTGCATCCCACTATCAGTGCCCTCCGAATGGCTGGAGTCTGGAGCATCTGGATGAATATTGGTTTATGTGCTGAAAAAAAAAAAATTAACTGTAAATATGCTCTTCACAGAAAACAGTTTCTGCATCACTAATCCAAAAAAGGAAACACATACTGCTCACTTTTGCTTGGGATACCATCAGAAATTATCAGTTATGATCTGTTATAACACATGTTATGAAGCAAGCTCTATCACATTGCATGTTCATCAACGTACAGCTTCAATAAGTGTGCAGGGAAGGAGGCATCAGTGTGAGGAGCTTTGGTGGAAACTTTCTAAGTTGATGTACATGCAGGAGAAGAATGGATAACAGAAAGAAGGAAGAGCGGAGAGCAAGGGGGTAGGGGGTGTTAAAAGAGAGAGGTAGAAGAAGGAAAGAGAGGAGATTTAGTCTGGGATGTTTTATAAAAAATAAGATAGTTTGTCCTCAGGTTTTACAAAATAATCATCCACTGGACATCCTGGTTGTTCTAAAATAATGTTTTTGCTTCCAAAACTAATTGTTTGGCTCTCCCATGCAATTTAAAAAAATGGCAACTCTTCATGTCTGGAAATGCTCTCTCTCTCACACACACACACACACACACACACACACACACACACACACACACACACACACACACACACACACACACACACACACACACACACACACACACAGAGTATCTAATGGTTGGTCCACTCATGACTGCAAACTGACCTCTGGATGCCTGCTGCTGTTTGATCTCGGTACATGTACTCTTGATGCTGTCAAACTCCTCCTCAATGTCCAGCTGCCCCCTCATGGACTGCAGCACCCGTCTCGCCTTCTCCTCCTTCTCGGTGATGATCAGCCATCTTGGACTCTCCGGCATGAACATGAAGCCAATGAACTGGATCATAGATGGTACACAGCCCAATGCCAACATGTACCTGAAACATCAAACCAGTCTCTGTCATGGACAGATCAAGGATAAAGCAATCAACTGGATCATAGATGGTACACAGCCCAATGCCAACATATACCTGAAACATCAAACCAGTCTCTGTCATGGACAGATCAAGGATAAAGCAATCAACTGGATCACAGACGGTACACAGCCCAGTGCCAACATGTACCTGAAACATCAAACCAGTCTCTGTCATGGACAGATCAAGGATAAAGCAATCAACTGGATCACAGATGGTACACAGCCCAATGCCAACATATACCTGAAACATCAAACCAGTCTCTGTCATGGACAGATCAAGGATAAAGCAATCAACTGGATCACAGACGGTACACAGCCCAGTGCCAACATGTACCTGAAACATCAAACCAGTCTCTGTCATGCACAGGTCAAGGATAAAGCAATCAACTGGATCACAGACGGTACACAGCCCAGTGCCAACATGTACCTGAAACATCTAACCAGTCTCTGTCATGCACAGGTCAAGGATAAAGCAATCAACTGGATCACAGACGGTACACAGCCCAGTGCCAACATGTACCTGAAACATCAAACCAGTCTCTGTCATGCACAGGTCAAGGATTAAGCAATCAACTGGATCACAGACGGTACACAGCCCAGTGCCAACATGTACCTGAAACATCAAACCAGTCTCTGTCATGCACAGGTCAAGGATAAAGCAATCAACTGGATCACAGACGGTACACAGCCCAGTGCCAACATGTACCTGAAACATCAAACCAGTCTCTGTCATGGACAGATCAAGGATAAAGCTATTAACTGGATCACAGACGGTACACAGCCCAGTGCCAACATGTACCTGAAACATCAAACCAGTCTCTGTCATGCACAGGTCAAGGATAAAGCAATCAACTGGATCACAGACGGTACACAGCCCAGTGCCAACATGTACCTGAAACATCAAACCAGTCTCTGTCATGGACAGATCAAGGATAAAGCAATCAACTGGATCACAGATGGTACACAGCCCAGTGCCAACATGTACCTGAAACATCAAACCAGTCTCTGTCATGGACAGATCAAGGATAAAGCAATCAACTGGATCACAGACGGTACACAGCCCAGTGCCAACATGTACCTGAAACATCAAACCAGTCTCTGTCATGGACAGATCAAGGATAAAGCAATCAACTGGATCACAGACGGTACACAGCCCAGTGCCAACATGTACCTGAAACATCAAACCAGTCTCTGTCATGGACAGATCAAGGATAAAGCAATCAATTGGATCACAGATGGTACACAGACTAGTGCCAACATGTACCTGAAACATCAAACCAGTCTCTGTCATGGACAGATCAAGGATAAAGCAATCAACTGGATCACAGACGGTACACAGCCCAGTGCCAACATGTACCTGAAACATCAAACCAGTCTCTGTCATGGACAGATCAAGGATAAAGCAATCAACTGGATCACAGATGGTACACAGCCCAGTGCCAACATATACCTGAAACATCAAACCAGTCTCTGTCATGGACAGATCAAGGATAAAGCAATCAACTGGATCACAGATGGTACACAGCCCAGTGCCAACATGTACCTGAAACATCAAACCAGTCTCTGTCATGGACAGATCAAGGATAAAGCAATCAACTGGATCACAGATGGTACACAGCCCAAATAAATATACTAAGTTTAAAAGATGAAAAAAAACCATATTTCCTTTCAGAAAATACACATATCAAAATTAAACTTTCCACTGCACCTCTTCTATTAGTATGGAAACTGTTACCTAAGTTTGTTACCTGATGAAACATTAACTCTAAACACATCATTTTTCCAAATGATGGAAAATTTCACCTGGAAAAGGATCACAATGTGTGCACGTGAAAATTGGGGAAGTTGTGCTCCATGACGAGGGGTATAGGGATGACACAAGTGGACATAGCATTTGCCTCTTTGTGTTTTTTCTGAGACATTTGATATGCCAAGTTTGTGGGCATCTGTTGTATATCATTTTTATGTTTACCACAGCACCGTTTCATGCCTTTGAGGGCGTTACCAACAACTTGGATCCACCCACAACCGACCTCGAACTGGGAGGCCAAAGATAACAACTGCGGTGCAGGATCGTTACATCTGGGTGTTCCATCTTTGCAACAGGTCGGTCCCAGCAACTGAAATTGCAGGAACTGTCCCAGGTCTAGGGTGAGTGTCCACACAGACAATACGGAATCGCCTACAAGAAAGTGGAGTTCGTGCAAGAAGACCTTATGTTGAACCTGTGCTGCAACGTCATCATCGCCTGTCACACGTTTTCTGGTGCAGAAACGTCCAAAGACGGAATTGGAGAAACTGGCAAAGAATTTGGTTCAGCAATGAATCATGTTTCCTCTTGCAACTTCATGATGGTAGAATCCAAGTCTACAGACGTCGAAATGAGCGCTACGCCCGTAACTGTGTTGTTGAGGTGGACAGATTTGAAAAGTACGGACCAGACAATCCAGTGATTAATATTGTGAGCCACAGTCCACGTCATCATGATTATAATCAACCAAGTCACCGAGCCTGACCACTTGATCTATTTGGTCATCTTTCACGACCAGCATGGGTTGCTGGCAACTATTCTAACCCTAGTGAATTGTAGCGTCTCACTCCTCCACTCCTGCCATCTTGTCAAGGGTATAATGGTATAATAGCCCAGAAGTCTGGATACCTAACTGGGTATATTCCTGAATTCAGCCATTAACATTTGGTACTCATGCCAAATATATATATTCCCATAAGGCAATGCTTTATCATAGTGTTAATTAAAAATATATATGGTTTGCAGCGGTGGCCTTAAAAAATATCTGGTTTCAAAACAAAATCCAAGGCCCTCCCCCTTGCGAATATCAAATCGTTGGTCCCTAAAGTCTTTGCAGCGTAAATAAAAAAACTTGACGAACAAAAGAAATATGTCTGAAATGAGACCAAACCTTTAAGTCTGTGATTTTATACAAGAGCCAGAAAGCATGAAATACAAACTATCCGTACCTCCATCCGTTCTGAGTGTCTGACCCAAATATTCCATCCACAACATTGGCCATGAACTGTCCAAACGCCACCATTGCGATGTTGGTGGACACCAGTGACCCCCGGGCATAGGAAGGGGAGCATTCCGCCAGGTACATGGGGATAGTTGTTGACGTCAGTCCTGAAACACACAAACATACAAATCTAAATCTGACCGACTCGAGTCTTCGGCGGGACGAGTGAACGCTTGAACCACAAGGCTACCCTATGGCCCCATGTTGCTTCATGCCGTGACATGAGTTAGGTAAGGTCCTGCATCAACACAAGAAAGACATAAAAGAGTATAGGACATGTTATCTGGTGTGAAAATGAATTTTCATGATCTGTACAAGAGTTCACAAGCAACTCATCATGTGTGTTCATTTAAACTTGTTTCCATAAAAAACAAGTGTATAGTTGACAAAGTCATCTTTATCCCCCGCCCATTTTAACACGTTATGGTCCCAAACCAGGTAACTGACCCAACATTTCTCTTAGCCTATGTCAAAAAAGCTGCAATGGGAATTCTAAAAAAAACATTTCTAAAACTCCTTAATATCAAATGGCACTAGTTCAGTATGCGCTTTATATATAGACATGCAATGTTTGGCAAGGAAATATTTAACAGTTTATTTGTTATACTACTTAAGTAAACCAATCCTATATTAAAACTTAAATCCAACTTGTTGTCATGGAAACATAAACAATAAAAATTTCTAAAAGTGCTATATATCAAAAGGCACCAGTTCAGTATGTGCCTGGTAGACATGCAAAGTTTTGTAAGAAAGTATTTAACGGTTTTTGAGTTATACTCTGGAAACGAACACCACCCCTGTAGAACCTAAGTCCAACTTATTGCCATGGAAACGTGAAAAATAAAAATTTCTAAAATTCCTAACTAGCAAGAGGCACCAGTCCAGTATGTGTCTGGTAAACATGCACAGTTTTGTAAGAAATTATTTAACGGTTTTTGAGTTACGCTCCGGAAACGAACAGCACCCTTCTAGAACCTAAGTCCAACTTGTTGCCATGGAAACTTAAAAAATAAAAATTTTTAAAATTCCTAAATAGCAAAAGGCACCAGTCTGATAGACATGCAAAGTTTCGTAGAGAAATATTTAACGGTTTCTGAGTTATGCTCCGGAAACGATTTCGGGACGCTCACCCCTCCCCGCCCCGCCCCGCCCCGCCACGCCACGCCACGCACGCACGCACGCACGCACGCACGCACGCACGCGGACGGAACCCATAATGTACTCAAGTGAAAAAAAAACTCACTAAAGTGCCACTGATCTTAAATATATCATAACTGTTACTTAAATTATGAGATTCTGTGTGGATTCTGGGCAAGAATTTATAGGTCTCCAGTAACCAATGCTTTTTGTAAAAGGGGCCAAAATGGATCGGGTGGTCAGGCTGACTGACTTGGCTGATTGCATGCCAACAGCATACAGATCGACTCAAAGGTTTAACAAATACTCAGTTTTCTATGGGAGCTCTGGATCTATTCTGACGACAGCATAGAGCATGAAAGATTCGTGAATTACTGAGTTTTCTTTGTGAGTTCTGGATCTTTTGTGTAAATAATCTGTCAGATACACACCACCTTTTATCTTTATACTCCATCATGTTTCCAAACACTAGTCTCCTCTGATAACACACAGAGCAGAACGTTTGATCAGGGAGCCAGTACGTAAAGCCAAGGAAGTGTCAGCTACAGTGCAGGAGACATGGCTTCTTTCAGTAACTCATCCTAACTGACACACCGTGTGGTAATCATCAAAACATTAAAGCAAAACATATGTAACAAGGGGAAATGAGCTCTTTCATGCCATGGCAACAGAAGAAGACATTGATCTGCCACTAAATCTCAGGCTGTGTCATGAAGCACGACAAGAGCAGCCTAATCATGTGTTTCAGATAAAACTGGAAATGACATATACAAAAAAAACCCCAGATATTTCTTCCTAGGCAATTTAGTAGATTATCATCAAGTTTTTATCCTGAACATGCGAGACAGGATACATTTAATTTTGTCTTTTAATTTCTTTCACAGAAAAATCATACACTGAAGTACACTTGGTGCAATTTGATGAGGCGACGGTCACACATTCTTGTCTATTACGATTCTCTTGTCCTGTGAGGCAAGGGAGCTTCCACAAAGTGATAGCAGCACTACGTCTATCATGAGCCTATGTTAAAATACGGGAGTTACGATCATCTTAGCACTATGCCTATCATAAGCCTAAGTTAAAATATGGGAGTTACAATCATCTTAGCACTACGCCTATTGTAAATCTATGTTAAAGGATGGGAGTTACGATCATCTTAGTCCAACGTCTATTGTAAGTCCATGTTAAAGTATGGGAGTTACGATCCTCTTAGTACAACACCTATTGTAAACCTATGTTGAATTATGGGGGTTACAATCATCTTAGTACAATGCCTAATGTAAGCCCATGTAAAAGTATGGGAGTTACGATCATTTTCGCACTACACCAATTATAAGCCTATGTTAAAGTATTAGAGTTATCATCTTAACGTAAGCCTATAATAAGTTAGGGGAGTTACAATCGTCTTAGCATTACACCTACTGTAAGCCTATGTTAGAGTATGGGAGTTATGATTGTCTTAGCACAACACCTATTGTAAGTCTATGTTAAAGTATAGGAGTTACAATCATCTTAGCACTAAGACACAGTACCCAAGTAAGACATACATGTACTTCACTATTCCTTATCTTGTGTCCTGTAAGCACAGGGTCCTATTCTACAAAGTGACTTTTTTTTGGATGTTTCTTATAGATTTCATATCCAGGACTATGTAAATATAAGAGTAACGCTATTTTTCAGGGCATTATCATTTGCAGAAGCCTGAGGTCTTCCATTAACTGAAATGACGGAGGGCCTTTGCAAATGATAATGCCCTGAAAAATAGCGTTACCATTATCATAGCTAAAATGGATAGAATTTTGTATCAAATAAAAAGAAACAACAATATCGGGTTTGAAACATTTACTGCAATCAACCAGAATGTCACTGACCCACTTTTACAAATATGGAAACATCATAGAACAAACCAGATGACGTCACTATTGAACGTGACGTCAGCTATCCTATCATATGACATCACCTAACAACGGGTGTGATAATGGCCCGTCGTCAAACAGTATGAGGGCATTATCAAGTTACAGTGGCCCGCTCATTTCTGATAACATGCAGGCAGTTTAATGATAATTCTATCCATTTTAGCTATAAATTAATCATAAAATTTTCATCCCTATCCGTCTCACTACTAAACACCCAACAGTTTTCTGTCCCCAAGAAAAGAATCAAATGTCGCTTCTTTCTTTGATTCATGAATTCCAATATAAACCTAATCCACCAAACTTTCATGAATCAATCTATCAACAGATGATGTAACCACAGACACCTTGAAGATCATGTTTGAAACAAATAAAATAAAAGAAATAAAATGTCTTACGACTCATAATCGAAATAATCGAATAATAAATACATTGTACTCCAACATGTTTTTTCAAATGGGATTCTTGAAATTCAGAATGGTGTGTAACATCAATAACATTTTGAAACAAAGATTTCAAAATGAATTGAGTGCTGACCATTTTATTTTCAAAGAGAACAAATTAAATTTTTGCAAAAAAAATTTCAAACAAAAGTGGTTGTTGTAGGGTTGGTAATTAAATGCTTATATTTCCATTCTTAATACATTCAGAATCAGTTTTATCCAAGTCAATTTTTGAATATAATTTCTTACCAGAGTGAAGTGAAAATATGTTTGTTAATGCTTCATGCCAGACTTTCTTTTGGGAAAGGGCCAGGTTCCCAGCCACCTTCTTGTGATTTTTCCAATCTTCTTCCTTTTCACACAAAGCTGCATGTTTTGGAAGCATTCAAGATGTATTGACCCCTGTACATATTTATCAGTCTTGTGCCTTCATCAGATTCAAGTACATACATTCTTGCAATTGCCTCGTCAGCCATCATGGAAAGTGTACTTTCATTAATACTGAAGTAAGGTATAACCCTCTCTATTTCTTCAGGGACAAAGTTTCCTCAACATCAAATTCTCTTAATGCAGCTAGTAGTGTTTGTTTAAGGGGAAATTGGTCAGAGTCATTTGCTTAACCGAATTTCTGTTCCTCAAACTACCATCAAATTGAGTTATCTCCCTTTCCACCTGAGTAAAATCAATGTCACTGTCCTTATTTGGGCACCACCCCAATAAAAGCATGTTCATGGAGTCCAGTCTTGCATTAACGAATCCCGCCCGTCCCGCGCGTCAACCCACACTGATTGATTGTCTGCCATGCGACAGGTTATCAATGAGAATCTACATCTAGTGGGAGCAGACGTACAAATAATCAAGTAGAACTCACAAAGACACCCAGGACACTTGTATTTCTATTCTGGCACCAGTTCCTGGTATATTTAGCTCTTGGTGATGTATTATTGATAAGGAAGGTGCTTGTAGCAGGTTCAGTGTTGCCATTGAATACTGAGAACAATACCAGTGTTGAGTCAAGCATGGTTTAAGACCACAAAGACTCTAGGTCTTTTACTCAAATAATGGAGTTGTGTTCGCTTATATTTTGTTAATGTGCAATTTAAAAGTATGAAATGTCTTTTCAATCCCAGATGTGTTATATTGCTGTTTGATATTTAGATTTTATTTCATGTATAGTTGTATTGATTGGCCCATTTTTATTTATTTAATGATTTGACTTTCATCCCCGCCATTTCACGACCAAATCCCCAGCCACACATTATTTTATTGTTCCCGAGTAGCTACGGATGAAACATAAACCACTTGATGAAATATGTTATATCTATATAAATAGTCCTATCAAACAATTAGGCTTCAAGTGAATCATGTAAAAACCTCACAGATGCCTTGAATAGCTTGTTTAAAACAACTTACATAGAGCATAAAATTCATCCTGTATTAATACTAAATGTATTATGACCCAGATGACCTTATGTTAAACTGTTGAAAAATTAAATTGTCAATTAAGGGATAGCTCTTCATGCGGAAAGATTAGAAACTTCCCAGCCCGCTGCAACGTTATGAGCTTTAGACCGGTACAGCCAGGTAGCCATATCTTGCTCAGGTATGGGCAGA